GTAGCAGGTGACTTTAATGCTCAGATAGGTAGTTTAAACCAAACAGAAAGGCATTTAGGTGGGTTGAGAAAGTTGAGAAAGCTCTAAACTCCATGTTAGAGCTTATAACGTCCGAACACTGTGTCAAATAGGACAACAAGCTTCCTTAGCTAGGACTTTAGAATCTCTCACCATCGATATGTGCTGTGCCTCCAAAACGCTCATACAGGATCCGAGTAGCGTCATTCAATTGACATCACCATGTCAAAATAGAGAGCCAACTCGATTCACACTTCGTGTATCTGGAAGCCCTGATGCTGCTTCCCGTGGCCTCGCCGGCGTAGGCATAGCATCGAGTCCTAAGGCAGAAATAGCTCTCTTAGACTGGATCCCAGTAGACAGTCGTTTGTGCGCTGTACGACTAGACGGAACAGTAAGGACTCGGAAAGGTAGGCACACTCGTCGTTGCCTCTTTGTCGTCTCTGCCTATTCTCCCACTGACTGCAGCTCAGATGATGTAAAAGATGAATTTTACAGAAAGCTTTCCGACCTCCGAAAAGCTAGGCGCTCTGATGTAGTAATAGTGGCTGGTGACTTTAATGCTCAAGTAGGTAAACTAAGCGAAAGGGAAAGACACCTGGGTGGATCTTATGGTGTCGTGGCTCAAAGAACAGACAATGGCGACCGTCTATTACAGCTATGCTTAGATAACCGCCTGTTTCTTGCAATTACTAACTTTAAGCATGAGGAAAAACATCTTTTAACATGGCGACCCCCTAAATCGTCCCAACGTTGGACCCAAATAGATCACATCGCTATCAGCCACCGATGGAGGGGCTCAATAGAAGACTGTCGCTCATTCTGGAGCATATGCTTAGATTCAGATCATGCTCTAGTGCGAGCGCGTATTTGCTTGCGTCTTACTGGACGTAAGAAAGATGCTGCAAGGAAACCTCTTAGGGCCCTACTTAATGATAGTCAAGCTAAGAGTATATTTCAGGATCCACTAGAAAAACAGGCAGCCATGTAGGTGATGCCCACCCCGAGGCAGCATGGAATGATATCCGAAGAGCTGTGGAAACCGCAGTGATATCTGCTAGTACGGTAAAGCGTAAGGTTAGGGAGCAACACTGAATCTCAGCAGCAGCTACCGCACTGATAGATGCTCGAAAACTCATTCCATCTGGCTCTGAACATAACGAAGAGCGGAGTCAGCTTAAGCACAAGCTGACAAGAAGCCTACGCAATGATCGCGAACAGTGGTGGATAGCGAAAGCAAGAGAGATGGAAAAGGCAGCGGCAATAGGTAATAGCAGACAACTGTTCAGACTTATTAAGGAAACCGGTATTAGGAACCTGACTGTTATCGAAACTATCTCAGAAAAAGATGGACATATTATACATTCTCAATCCAGGAGATTGGATCGATGGGCAGAACACTTTAGGGATCAGTTCAACTGGCTTTTAGCCACACTTCGGTTTCCCACGATCTCCAGTTGACCTGGATGGAAAGTTAATATAAATCCTCCGACTCTTTACGAAGTTGAGAAAGCTACAGGAAATCTGAAGCGAGGGAAAGCAGCAGACCCTGACAGGTTTACTCCTGAGATTTTTAAGGATGGTGGTCCAGTATTAGCAGTGAGATTAACTGAGGTCTTAGGTAGAATTTTGGAACCGGACGCAATCCCATCTGACTGGTCTCAATCACTGATTGTGCCAGTCTATAAGAAAGGACAAAAGTCCTCTTGTGACAATCACACAGGAATCAGTCTGACTAATATGGTGTCTAAAATATTAGCTTCAATAATACTTCGACGCCTAACTAAAGCTCGTGAAGAGCGGACTAGAAGAAACCAGGCTGGTTTTCGACCTGGACGTGGCTGTATAGACCAGATATTCACACTACATCAGGTCCTAGAACATAGACACACATTCAGATGCCCCACAATCATAGTATTTCTCGACCTTAAGGAGGCATTCGACTCTGTTGATCGTGAGGTTCTATGGCAGTGTTTGTCACTGAAAGGAGTACCAAAAAAGCACATTAACCTTGTAAAAGCTCTCTACTCGAACACAACTGGTCGAGTGAGAGCTTATGGCGAACTGTCATCAGAATTGATTACCTCAAGTGGTGTTCTCCAGGGCTGTTCACTCTCTCCATTCTTGTTCAACTTTGTCGTTGACGTGCTTTTAGAGATAACACTTTCCTCACCTAAATTTCGAGGGGTTAGACTTCTACCGGGAGATTCACTTGTTGACTTAGAATATGCCGATGACGTCGTTCTATTTGGTGGAAACGCTGACAAAATGCAGTCTTCTGACCACTCTAAGCAACAATGCAAGCATGTTCCGGATGCGATTCTCCCCTCGAAATGCAAAATGTTGCTTCAGGATTGGGTTGCATCGACACTCGAACTAGTGATAGGGAGTGAAGTAGTTGAGCGTGTCGACCGCTTCACTTATTTTGGGAGCCTCATCAGCCCTTGTGGTCTGGTATGTGACGAAATCTCAGCACAGATACAGAAAACTCGACTAGCTTTTTCCAACTTGCGTCACTTATGGCGTAGGAGAGATATCCGTCTATCAACCAAAGGACGTGTTTACTGTGCAGTAGTTCGTTCCTTCCTACTTTATGTCAATGAAACATGGCCAGTAAGAGTAGAGGATATTCGTAGGTTACTAGTATTTGATCATAGATGTCTTCGAAACATTGCTTGTATATCCTGGGACCATCGAGTAAGTAATACAGTTGTTAGGAAACGGGTACTAGGTAAGGATGACAAAGAAATTGATGAGGTAGTGAAACTTCATCAGTTGAGATGGCTGGGACACGTGTTACGTATGCCCAACGAACGACTTCCTCGACGTGCGATGTTCAGTGGTATAGGAGGAGATTGGAAGAAAGCTAGGTGCGGCCAGACCAAAACATGGCACAAGTCCATGAAGTCACTGACAAATGGACTGAGTCATGTTGGCAGGTGTAGACTACCTGATTGGGGATCGCGATATGATAGAAACCGATGGTTAGATACCCTGAATGACATGGCTCAAAATCGTTTGCAATGGTGTGCGCGGGTGCATCCACTTTGTGTTCTCCCAAATTTTAATCTTCTGAATTCTTCATGTCCCTTTCTTTCTTCTCTTCCCAAATTTATTTCACTGTATCATACTCCTTGAATAACATCTCCAAACCCTAATCTTTCCGATTACTGCTTATACTCTTATTACCTCTACCACTACGGGATTTGAATCGACCACTGTATCTCTGTGCTAATGTGGTGTGGCAATTCGAACTGATGTACGTACGTACGAAGTTATACGTTGTTACTGACTGGAGCACGCTAATCGGCCATTTGTTAACCAGAGCTAGCGGATACTCGGAGAAGACTCTAGAATCTTTGTGTAAAATTAATAATATACTAATGTTTTTATTATTGTGTTTTCTACTTCCATTCACCTTTGTTTATTTGAACTGTAATTACGTTCCTGTTCAACCATGTTCTGTTTTGGAGACTTATCGAGTGAAATGAAATGTATGAATGCTAAACAATAAGAGTAGCTGGGCCGTATTTAGAAAAACCATTTATAACTTTTATTGGTAAACTGGAGACTTAAAATGTTATTTTGACGTAAAGGTTCAAAGTGTTGTAAAGTGTACTTGGCTGCCCGATTCTAAATTATCAACACCGTAGTAAACGTAATGAATCAAGGCAGTCATCGAAAGCTGCGATTTGGCGTCAACATTATGTGTCCAATATTATCGTTTCAGCCTTCAAGTGGTAAGGAAACAAACCGGTTTGGGAAGAGGTACGTCTGGTACAAAAAAACAGAATATTTTTCAGACTATCTTCTTGACAATCAATAATTATAATCAGATAATCACTGCGTAAAATGAACTTTTTGATAAATTCATCTCAAAATTGGACGAAATACATGATAACACTATCAGAATATGGTTGAATATCATGCTCAAGTAATGAATAACATATTTTTTCAAAACTACCAAATTTTAGTCAATTGGTGATCACATCTTACCGATCGATAACCTTAATCATTGCTTTTTATCATATAGAATCCTTAAAATGTAGCGAATCATTCAGAGTAATAGTTTTAAATGTCAAATCGAAAGTAAATTTAAAAAGTTGATGGGGGATGTTTTGGACACTCAGAGATAGACTACATCTTGTATATTTTTGGAGGATTTCGAATAAATTCGGTTACGGTCTCTTGAACAATCCGCAATATTTTTCAGGTAAAAAACAGAGAGCCTGTTGTTCTTCACACTTTTTAGATGATATACTAGTAATATAGATGTCTCGTGTCGTAACTCATGTGTAGGTGTTTCTCATAAAAATCTCACTAAATGGGATTTAGTAGATATTTCTGTATGTGGTGTTGTGTATGTAAGCATTCAATTGTCTACGCGTTCACCAGTACTTAAGGATTTCAAACCTAGTTATCTAGAGTGAAATTTACTTGTTTCGAATCTCAGACTATTAGATAGTAATGTAGATATGATCCATTGTTCCACTCACATCGTTAAATCGTAGTTCCTTATTCTGAAAATAGTTTTCATAAAGGATTGTTGCCATCTAAAATACCATTGACAACCGATTAATCTTGGAGAGCTACTTAGTTGCATCTTGGTATTTCCAAGGGATGGATACGTTAAATGCCAAAAATGACTTAAAAACCCAAACTCGGAGGTCTTTGGTTTACTTTATTGTTATAAGACTGTACTGCATCAAGAAATGATTGGTGATGTAGATGTATCTATTTTCTATCTAATTAATTTCAGGTGTCGATATTATTTCATATCTTATAGTCCTTGAACTATATTGTTTGTTTACGTTCTTGTTACCAATTAATTCACCGTCATTTTGATTCCTTGCTATACATCTGGTTAATTTCTTCCCGATGTCTCAATATGAAGTGTGTCAATTTCGATTGATGTCCATTTGTTCAAGGTTCAGCTTTGATGTTGATAGCACTACCCGCTTTATTTTATCCCACATTTTAAGCAAACAGCTTTCATGTTCTCTCGTGTGGCTGGTCGCATTTTAAGTGTTATCAGATAAAAACTACGCTTAAATCAGACAAATCCTTCGAACCAATTCGTTGAATGATATTCCATTATATACCAATCTGTATAATCATTGCAGTTGAAAAACAATATGTACTCATCAGCGTTATTGTACGATAATCGCTCCGTATCTTCGATAATGTGAATCACGAAATCCTGATTTGGTGCCTTGAATGATAATATTTTTGAGATCCTTGGACCGGTAGATTTATGCTGACAAACAGTGAAGATAACTATATAACGGTTCAGAGTTTCATAATTATTAATATTTTCCTATTGATGTCAATTTGTGTTTGAAGTAAACAAATCCGTTTTTGTCCTATTACTCATCTTTAATGGGCTTTCTTTATACCTACTGATCAAAAATTCAACTTCAGGTTTACGAAAAACCTTTCTTCAAATAAACTTCATATGAGTTTATTAAAAGGTGTTTTGGAGTTGGAAACACTAGAATTAGAAGAAAATGCTTTAATGGAGCTTCTTGATCTGCCAACTTGGTTACTTTTACGTAAAGCATATTGTACAAATGTTGTAGCTAAAGTAAGTTCTCCATTTTGTGTCACGAATAGCAAATAAAACGTTCTTTTTAGATACACTGGACAAAGTTAAAAACTCATCCTGTTTTCATTGTAAGCATTCATATTAATCTCACATTTTATTATCATGAAAAATTACTCGTTGATCAAGAGTATTGATCTTGTAAATATTGAATTACAAGCGCTCAATGAACCACGTCCAGCTTCACAATCGCCTATAGCTAATTATAGGTTTGTTTTTTGATAAAATCTGAATGAACGTTTCTATCCCTATCACAGAGGCGGATCTGGCAAATATGGGTTCAGTGATAAAGTAATTGATGGAGTTACTATTCAAGTGAACTCAGTGTTTATTGAGTTCTTCGCTCAAGCTTTTCAGGGCTCAGTTGAAGTATGTCTTCTTTAAAAATGCTCTTGATAATTGGCAAATTATATTTTTCCATAGTGGTTTTCTGTATGTCATGTGTTTCGAAGTATACTCAAAATAATATTCGTTATTTAGACATAGATCGATACATAGGTGTGATTGATGAAGAATTGACTAATTTTACATACATCCGTCGCGATAGCGTTACATAGTCATATGGCAAAAAACAAGTAGTGATATCATAGTCATGGTATTATAGGGTGGTTGTTTGTTGGTTGAAGCACTTGACTTTAAACCACTGAGCTGCACTCTCAAGCCTGGCCTCACCTTCTGTTTAATTTTTTGGTCAGTACTGCTAATACAACTGAAGTGTGACTCGAAGCTCAGTAAACAAACCTGTATCTGTTATGCGAATTGATTCACATTAGGAGTAGAATAATGAAAATCGATTTCAGTTTATAAATCCGCTTTGTATTGTGTCATCATAGTATGATAAGTCTATTGATTTCTTCTATCCAAGCTGAGTGATCAAGACATACACCATAAACTTTTGTTTGTTGTATTACTAACCGTTTTGTCACTCCCTGATGCACTCCAACCTGTATTTAGCTCCCGAATTGTGTTGTGTTACTTTATTATCCACGTTATTCGTATTGCTGTGCACAAAAAGGTGGTTTTTAAGTATTTTTAAATCCTGTTTCGAGCTTCTTTTTGTGATTTAGTTAAAGATTTCCGAAGTAAAAATTTATGTCCCCTGATTATTTTGATATCTGTATATGACCTTTCATTTTTTTAAAAGCTGTATTCACCAGTGTGTATATTTTATGAACGAAATTTTGTTGTAATTTGTCATTCTCTAATTTCTAATACCTGTACTGTTGAGTTTATTGTTCCCTTATACTCATGTATAAGATATAAGGGGCTATGTTTGACCTCCTAGCTATGAGGTATGTGTGATGATCAATAGTACAATTATAGAACTGATTTCACCAGATTAAATTACTGCCTAAAGAACATAAAATCTAAGAGTAAAATATTTTTTAGGTGGGGGATCTTGGCTATTGAATGATGTAGTTTGCTTCTATCAACCAAGACGGTTAAGGGATATGTTGTGCACAAATATCAGTCGTCTGTTTCAAACCCTAATAATAACTTTAATCATAAATAGCGTAGAACCTTGCGCATATATAGATCAGTTCACATTGCTACACCACATCAGCAAAATGAAATGAAATTGCCAAGATGAATACCAAGTTAGTAGGAGTTGTAGTGGTAGTATCAGTGATAACATAAAACAGTACACGTGGAGGATAAAATTCAAGATGAACAAATGAATTCCAAAGGTAAAAATTATTCAATAATTTTTGAAACTCAGAATCAAACAGGAGATAAAGAGTGAGTCCATCTGCACCATTGCGACGAATTTCAAGCAATGCAGCCCAAAGTTTCTAACTGTCTTTTATGACGATTACATGAGTCCTAACCAGGTAGCTTGCACCTAACAACATAGCTCATATCAACTGTTAATGTCTTTACAAACTAATTCCATGTTTTGTTTTAGCTGCTCTTAGATTTCTACCAACCTACCCGTACCTCAGCCAACATAACCTTTCTACTTAGGCTGCTGTTAGAGTCACAAAATATTTATTTATTTTCTTTAGTTGTGAAATAAATACAGTCTTCGCATAGTTTATTGTACCATTCTTTCAATTGGTTTCCTTTAGTTGTCCAGGTTTTGTGTGCTGAGTAAATCACCGAACTGGCAAAATTGTTTGTTAAATTTAAGCACTCTGGCAATGCCACAATATGATTCCATATTGATATTCAAGGAAGTCTCTTGGGAATCAGCACGTATTGTGGCCGATGGTCTACTAACTGAACTGCATGGTACACCAGTTAGACTTATAACAAACCAATCTCGTGTGCGTTTAACAATGAAAAAGCGGTTATCTGGTAAGCTTAATTATTTTTGGCTATAGATATTTCTTATACTTTAGTTATAGTCATTTGTTAAAACAAATACAGAATTTCAGAATTACCGACATTATTCTCGCGGCAACGTAAAATTGTTCTTATTTTTGGCGATGCCGAGTTTTCTGAGCAAGATGGTTTAATTTCAAAGATTTCATTATGGCTCTGTACATTATCATTAGCGCTGACTTAAAGTAGAAGTGAATATCTTGACCATTTCACATGTGTTAAGTCAGTTCATACTGATGACCTCACTCTTAACGTGGTGTCTTCATCTGTTTTTATATTTCTCTGTCTTCTTGTTGCCATTTCCTGTTGTTTTGTTGACCTCCAACCATGTAATTGGTTGACGTTTTCCGTATGAACTGACAATTTGTTTATATTTCATTTTGTTTAGACTCATATCTGTAGGTTAAAAATCAGGTCACCTAGTCAACTTCGTAAAAGCTTTTATCCAGTTACGAAAGTTAGGTCATAACAAACAAGTGTGATCTGTCAAAGGTTTCGAGCGAAATTTCTCTGTTGATTAGCTGCAATTATTCGCCAATGAAATCGTGTAAAAAACAATTTATGCTAAATTTCAAGGTCTTTTTTGTAGAACATTATTGATTATTGACAGCACGGAAATATTTTTTTAATGCTTAAGAAATCTACACTAATTAATATGTATATTTTCAACAGTACAATGTTCATCGCTCAAAATTGTCGAGAATCTTTTATTACTAGAAACAGTCCCAGGATTTTAAAGTGTCTATCATTTTATCTGTACGAAAATACCACCTCTCATTCTTTTTTCCGAAGATATAACTATTTTGTCGTCGTTTTCCTTCAGTTTAATAATTCAATCTGATTGTATATCTGATTATTTGAACACCTGAAAGTTCTAAGCAAATAAGTCTGAATGATATTTTCCAGTAACCTTCACTTTAGTTAATACATTGATAACCTAAAAGTGTAATTTATAATCTCTCACTTTTGACGCAGATTTTTCGAAATTCTGAATTTTGTTTGAGTGTGGTATGTTAAAATAGCTGTCTTAAAAGTACGCTCATTTTTGAATGTTTAAATATGTTTCTGTGTTTCAACTCAATACTGAATTGTTGCGTGATCATTAAATAAATAAAGATGGCAAACTGTGTAAGACGTGAAAAGTTTATTTATACTTATACCTCGATAACCATATTCCCTTACACACACCAACATAATGAAAACGAAATTTGTAGTTATAATGATAAAACTGTTTTAAGACAGTAACTCACCTAACTAGACATGCAATCAATGTTATATATATATATATATACTCATCATAGTAATGGCGTTTGAAGCGAACGGTACTGAGTTCGAGTCCCAGAGTGAACATCAACTCTGAGATGCAGGTACATCCAGCTGACGAGTCCCAAAACAGGACGAAACGCGCGTCCTGGATTCCACTACTAGCCACTATCCATCTCTGCTTACAATGCTTGTAAATTAAGGCAATATCGAGGCATACGCACAGTATGCACATATGCCAATAAGAGACTGATCAATTTCAGTCCAAAAACATCAATGGGAAGATTCAAATAAAACAATATCAAGTGAATTCATCATAGTAATGTTTATTCATAGGTATTCAGACTAAACTAAATAGTGAATCTGCGAGGAGTGACCTTGATTAGGGTCATAGTTTAGTTAAGCTTCACAACTCCTACATACATTTATCTGGTTTAACAAACAACCGTATCATATCATGTGACCTTACATGGCTATTTAGATATGTTTGGCTTGTCGTAAATTTCCTCAGATGACATTTTGTAAAAGTTTGACTGAAGTCCCACATTAGTGATCCAACAGTTGCGTTGCTACTTAAAATCTCTCTTCCTTTTATTCTCGGTCAGGTAAGTTGTATGTATAACTAAAAACTACGTGTACAATGGTAGAACAGACTTTTGGTTTTCGTTTCTGTGATTAAGACTGTCATCTCACTTGCTTTTTAAGATGTTGCATGTGTGAATTGAAAATAAACTGTCATTAGTCGGCTGTACTATGTTCCATAGTATAATGATAAGACGAAATTGATTTAGGAAGTATGATTTATTTGCGTAATCCATTTTGAACACTAGCCACACATTACATTTTCTTTGAAAACAATCGAAGGTCAAATAAAAAGTAATGATCATAAATAAAGTATGTAACATGTTATGTTTTAATACTGTAAGTGAATTAAGGTTTATCAGCTCTTGATGGCACAAACATATACGATTCTATCTTTTCACATGTAAAATCAATACGTCAGTAGCGAGAACATAAAATATATGAATTTCCAGAATGTTAAATATTGGAATGTTATGTCTGTAAATGTTTAAAGGAAGAATGAAAAATGATGCATTTAATTGATTACAATCAATTTTGAATAATATAGTCTCCAATCATAACTGGGAATTATCTCGTTTAACCCAACCAAGAAGTTCTCACTTCCATACATGTCTCAAGTAAACAGGTAATAACTTTTTGAACTGAAACCATATATTGATCTGGTAACTTTTTAAGCTCTTCCGAAACTATTTTCAAATTAATTAGCATAGATAGGCGATGACTGATAGTCTAAAAAACCTGTCGCAATGGATTTTTGGTTCGAACTATACTTAAAATGTTGCTTGTAAGATCTGTCAGAAGATTTACCGAATGGATGATTCCAAACAAGAACATGTAAACGGTGACCTAGTCTAGGCGAGTAATCCAACGGTTGCATCCTATCTGCCATGTGGGATTCAGGCAGCGTGTGATCTGTTCTAGCTTGTGAGGTATATCAGTTACAAAATTCAGTGTGAATCATCTACGAAATAAAAGTCTAAGTGCTATCAAAAGGACTACATAAGTTAGTCAATAGTTCAATCTAGGGACATCTCGTTAATTCGGGTCAAGCTGGTTCACTAGAATCCTCCAAACTCATCCGTATATTTGAGAGAATTGGTTGTGTCTTTCCCCTTCCGTTCCCATTCGACTGACCCTCCTGGTCTCCCACACTGCCATGATATTCCAAGTGCCTATATCAATTGTTACTTTAATTTTCAGAAGTGTCGTCGCCCTCGCAGCTTCGGAAGGATGTCGGCTTTCATTATGAGACGTCATAACTATTCTGTATGAAGACCCTCCAATTTCCATGGCTGAGTTTGGATGAATTAATTGATTCATTCTGGTTAGGGAGGTCCTTTCCTACAAGGGGGTTTGCTAATTCTATCGAGGCTTGGGACCGAGTTTAACCCAGAGGGGTCCAGATGAAGTTACTTGATGGCTAATGTTAAGTAAAAAGAACTATGTAATTCTAGTGGCTATAAACATAGTTGAAGCTTAAGAACTTCGTACAGACATTGCTGAGATAAATGTAACTATTTCTGAGTTTGATGAACTTCATTAAGAAATAATATAAACACAATCTTTGGAATTTACTTCCACTTTTGTACGTGTGTGGTGGGCTTCACCGGTAAATTATTGGCCTTAGACAACACTTTTCGTGATTATTTAATTAATCATGGCGCGTATCTCCTATAGTACATTGATGAAACGATATATTTTCAGTGTATGACTAAAAAAGCTTATTTTCTGCACAAATTCTAAGTATTTCTGTTCTAATTTTTGTTCCCTACTTCCTTCACCCTACCCACGTAGATGGGTCGCTGATTAGCTCACGTATTCGTCTTATACTAGACGATATACTTTGGGTATTCACATTATCTCAAGTTGAGGCAGCCATTGTATTTGCACGTTCTTTAGAACATTCAATACGTTTAGCCAATGAACAGAGTAAACGATTCGCAGCAGAGAAAGCTAAGGTTAGTATGTAAAATGTAGTGGATTTAAAAATTAATTTTTTCTTAACTATCAGTTCATTTCGATTGCCTTAATTGACTGTTATTATTACTGAGTTTAGGAAACCAGGTTCTATGATGGAATCATATTCGATTAACATTTAGAGTGAGCGATCTTATGGGCACAGATGAAGTTTACAACAGAGAAAACTGAACAAAAAAGTACGAGATAAAACTAATTAAAATAATCTAAGATTACCTATGTTCAGAGCGCCAATTTGGCGTCCAACTTAATGAAACAAGTCCTACGTGATAATTATTGGATTATCACTAACTAATGGAACATTTAAATACACTGAACAATTAGTCAGTAATTGTTTTGTAGAGATATAACATTATGAATACATTTTATATAAATGTAAACTGTATTATTATGAATCGAATCTCCTATCTGTTTACTTACCAAATTGGACTAATACTGAATATACATATTGGGATATTCAGGAAAATATCCCGAAAATTATCCTGTTAAGCCTAATGCTATCCTTGGACATGAAATGGTATCATCTTATTGGTCAATATTTATTTAACGTGTCATTTTCCTGTTGGCCAATATTGTACAATGTTATTTTCTATTTTATGGTACGATGTGGTCTGCCTGATTGATATATAAACAGAGTATGTTTGAAATATAGCGATTCATATATCCGAGGCTGAGACTTGTGTTCTGGACTCAACTGGCTGGGCTAGAAAGGGAAGCGGGACCAATCAGAACCCTAGGTCGTTCTTACGTGTTTGCGCGCCTTTGGTCCGACCAATAATTCGCTACCCTCTAATCTGCAGCATCACAGTTATATATATATATATATATATATATATATATACCCCTATACCAGCCAGCATTGTGTATCAGGGTGGGCGGTGTTTATGAGATGTGCTTAATACTTGTGTTTATCTCCTCAATCGATTCAGGCTCGTACAAATCTTATCAATGTTCTATCCCCTTTAAAAATCTCCTTCCTACTCAAGTGTCATTTGCAGAGTTTATGTCTACAACTTTTTTTCTTTGCAATTTAATATTACAATATGATTACTTAAGCTGTAACTGTATTTCATCTTGCTAACTATTAGCTGAAAACCTACTTTTTTTCAACTATTAAGATAACAATACATCCAACAACTAAAGTTGTTTCTCTCCACATTTATCGATTTCTGCACAAATATAACAATAATGGTAACTATTAACCGTTTGCCTCGGTTTCTGTTTTGCCTTTATTCAAACTCATAAAGGGAACCAATTGTATGATATTAACCTTCTGCTAAGTAATCAAAAGATAAGTGGTAAATATTAAAACAAATGTTAACGTAATAAGGATTGATATTGTGTTTTTTTCTTTTTTTGTATCACAGTACTACATTGAAAAAGAGCAACAAAATACGTAAAATAGTTATAATTAGCAGTTTAAAAATCTCCATAGGGTATTCAAAAATAAAGAATATTAGAGCGAACAGTTGTTTTTAATAACTTCATCATTAGACTCTACAGTTATAAGTCCATAATTATGATATTTTGTAAACGCCAAAATAAGGCAGTTGTCAATAAATTTGAGAATGTTATATGTTAAAAATAGTCAACGTTTGCATCTGTTACCAAATAAGTACTTCAAAATTGAGTTATTTGTAAATTAGATAGGTCATGTAATTAGATTTCGAATCAAGTTATTATGATGAAAAGTTTGCAAATAAGTAATGAACGAGAATACAGGTGGGGACAACCAATGTATTTTAACACAAAGTTACAAAGTATCTTGGTAAAATATAAGAACCATACATAAAATACTTCATTTGCAAATATCCAATCAACTGTTCTTTACATTCTGTATGATTGTTCCAATTCACAATGCCTTCCTATTTCCCTTTCTGTTTTCTTTAATTCGATCTTCTTAGCTTTCTGTTGTCATGCATTTCACTTCTGATTGATGTTACATACCACTTATGTCTGTCGACATAAGTAGCATACACCACAGTGTTATTAACCAGTACAGGTATTTTATTGAGAAACTTATTGGTCTAATAAATTCTTATTGTTATAATAAGTAGTGTCGTTAAGCTTTTTGACCTTTTTACTTGTTTCTTTTAATTTAGCGACAAACCGTCACTTTGGTTTCATCATCAGAAACTCAGTCTTTGGTGAATAATAGTTACAGTAACAATAATAATGGTAGTAATACTAACTATACTACTAATAGTAATATTTACCCCACGGTAGTAGTACGAAATACCAAATGTACATGGGATTATGCAAATGCTGTGAATATGTTTCATCAATATGATGTTTTGGAAACATCCTATCATTTGATTGTTAATCGGACAGAATTGAACTTTTGTGATGAAACTAAAGAAAGTTAGTAAATTAATTTCTAGTAAATGAGTTGTAAGTTACTCCTTTAACCGCTTGTCATTACGTAAAAATACGGCGTGTGTACCACCTGTATAGAATTGGGTTAAGAAATTTGACTTGTGACCTGTTTTATAAAGGTTTTAAGTGTTACCTGTTTTTACTTTTTTTGGTAGTCGTACAGAGCTGCAGTCCTCTTCACAAACAGTGTAGCTCAAAGTTGAATGCAGAACTGATCAATCAATTGTGATTCCATCTCAGTCCTACAGGAGGTTAGTCACGACTCGGATAGCTCAGTGGTAACGTCTCTGACTGTGAAGCTGGGTGACACGAGATCGAATCCGCCAGGGAGCATCAGTTCCCTGAAGATTACAGGTACACCTTGCTGACGAGTGCCAAGTAGCACGAAACCCGAGTCCAGGCTTTCCTGTTGACTACCTCCAACCACCATCTAAATCTCAATACATAGTGCCCGCAGTGTCGAGTCACCTACACTGTTGGCCACATTGCAACATGATCGATAGCATTCGATCTGCACTAATAAGGACTAGACAAGCATGACATTGATCACCACCCAGTGATCAATCAATTGTGAGCACTAGATCACAAAGGTTCCAAATCTCACGGAAGCGTCAATCTCGTCAAGATTACAGGTATGCCTTGCGTACATGCTCCAACCAGGATGAAACTTATATTCAAGGTTTTTCTATAGATTGGTGCGAACCATCTACCACTAAATTGTTAATCTCGTCATCGAAGTACAAATGTCTTCCCAAGTTTAACAAACCATCCTTTACCATTCCTATAAAATTTAATTATATTGCTTCTCCAGAATCATAATTTTTAATACTTCAAACTGTTATTATTCGTTCAGTTTTTTTATTTATCATAAATCAGCCAGATTTTCATTCATTTTACTTTCTTCTTAGAAATTCGACTCAATCCAAACATTGTGCCGAATGGATCAATGCGAGTTAATTTAACCACATTATCTGTAGATTGGTATCCATATCATTTAGATTGTACGTTCATTTTCTTTGTGTTTTTTATTTTTATATTACATTATGCCTTAAAATGACTTATTTTTGTGTTTCGTTAAAATTATATCTTGTTTTCGTGATTTTTCGATGAGGTTAACATAATAACAATGCATTGTTTTTGTAGATAGATTGAGAGAAAGGGAGAGGATAATTTATAATCTGGCTTAGTAATATTCTATTAGTAGCTTCATACTTCTCAATGTTTTACTGAATGAATATCTGTAAAATAAGGAAAAAACCGGTGATTACTTACTTACTTATACCTGTTACTCCTAATAGAGTATAGGCCGCCGACCAGCATTCTCCAACTCACTCTGTTCTGGGCCTTCTTTTCTAGTTCCATCCAATTCTTGTTTATTTTTTCATGTCTATCTCCATTTCCCGGCGTAATGTGTTCTTTGGTCTTCTTCTTTTCCCTTGGCCTTGATGATTCCATGTGGGGGCTTGTCTTGTGATACAGTTGGATGGTTTCCTCATTGTGTGTCCTATCCACTTCCAGCGCTTCTTCCTGATTTCTTCCTCCACTGGGATCTGGTTTGTTCTCTCCCACAGTACGTTGTTGCTAATAGTTTCCGGCCAATGGATCTGAGGTATTTTGCGTAGACAATTGTTAATAAACACCTGTATTTTCTGGATAATGGCTTCCGTAGTTCTCCAGGTTTCTGCCCCATACAGTAGAACTGTCTTGACATTTGTATTGAAAATCCCGACCTTGGTGTTGGTTGACAGTTGCTTTGAGTTCCAGATGTTCTTCAGTTGTAAATATGCTGCTCTTGCTTTGCCGATCCGCGCCTTCACATCTGCATCAGATCCACCCTGTTCATCAATGATGCTGCCCAAATACGTAAAGGTTTTTACATCTTCCAAATCTTCTCCGTCAATTGTGATTGGATTGGTGCATTCTGTGTTGTATCGGAGAATCCTGCTTTTCCCTTTGTGTATATTGAGACCTATTGCTGCTGAGGCTGCTGCCACACTGTTCGTCTTTTCCTCCATTTGTTGTTGCGTTTGGGATAGAAGGACCAGATCATCTGTGAGGTCTAGATCATCCAACTGCCTCTTAGATGTCCATTGTATCCCGCGCTTCCCTTCAGATGTTGACGTCTTCATGATCCAGGCGATCACCAGGAGAAAGAGAAAGGGTGTGAGTTAGCAACCTTGCCTAACACCGGCCTTTACTTCGAACAACTTTGTGAACTGTCCTCCATGCACGATTTTGCAGTTGAATCCATCCTATGAACTCTGTATGATATTGACTATCTTCTGAGGCACGCCGTAGTGTCGAAGAAGTTTCCATAGTGTTGTTCTGTCCACGCTATCAAATGCCTTTTCGTAGTCAATGAAGTTGATGTAGAGTGATGAACTCCATTCAATTGATTGTTGCACAATGATACGTAGAGTTGCGATTTGGTCTGTACACGATCTATCCTTACGGAATCCTGCGTGTTGGTCACGAAGTTGGACGTCTACGCAGTCCTTCATCCTGTTTAACAATACCCTGTTGAAGACTTTTCCCGGTATTGAGAGAAGAGTGATGCCCCTGTAGTTATCACACTTGCTGAGATCGCCTTTCTTCGGTATTTTTATCAGAACTCCTTCTTTCCAGTCTTTTGATACTTGTTCCTCATCCAAAATCTTATTGAAGAGAATGTGGAGTGTCCTTGCAGTTGCCGCTACGTCCGCTTTTAGTGCCTCTGCTGGTATGTTGTCCGGTCCTGCTGCTTTGCCGCTCTTGATTCGTCTGATGGCCATGCTGATTTCTTCAATTGTTGGTGGGCCAACATTGATTGGGAGGTCCGTCGGTGCTGCTTCGATGTTGGGTGGGTTCAGTGGAGCTGGTGGATTCAAGAGTTCTTTGAAGTGTTCTACCCACCTGTTTTGTTGCTCTTCAATGTTGGTGATTACCTTGCCTTCCTTGCTTTTCACTGGTCGTTCTGGTTTGCGGCGATTTCCAGAGAGTTTTTTTGTCGTGTCATACAATTGTCTCATGTTTCCTTCTCTTACAGCCTTTTCCGCCGCCGTTGCTAAATCTTCCACATATTTACGTTTGTCGGTTCTGATGCTCCTCTTCACTTGTTTGTTAACTTCTGTGTATTCAGCTTGTGCCTTGGCTTTTTCTGCTCTTGTTCGACTGGTATTGATTGCTGCTTTCTTGTTCCTCCTTTCTTGAATCTTACCAAGTGTATCAACAGTGATCCATTCCTTGTGATGGTGCTTCTTGTGACCCAAAACCTCATGGCATATTGAAGTGATTGCCTCTTTGATCCCATTCCAGTTGCTCTCTATAGTAGTTCCTTCTCTATTGAGTAGATCATGAAAGGCCTGGAATCTATTGCTGAGGACTATCTTGAATTTGTTGAGTTTGTCAGTATCCTGAAGAAAGGCTGTATTGAACTTTTGTGATATTGTCCTCCCCGTTGTCCAGTGCTTCTTGAGTTTCAATTTCATCTTGGCAACCAGCAAGTGATGATCTGATGCTATATCAACTCCTCTCTTGGTTCGCACGTCCTCCATCATCCTCCTGAACTTTTTGTTGATGCAGATGTGGTCGATTTGGTTCTGTGTAGTGTGATCCGGTGAAGTCCATGTGGTTTTGTGTATGCGTTTATGTGGGAATATGGTGCCGCCTATGACCAGTTTATTGAAGACACATAGGTTTGCAAATCTCTCACCATTTTCGTTCCTTTCTCCCAGTCCGTGTCGTCCCATGATGTCTTCATATCCAGTGTTGTCCGTTCCAACCTTGGCATTGAAATCTCTCATCAGAATGGTCAGGTCCTTTGTTGGGCACTTCTTGATGATTGACTGCAGCCTACTGTAGAATTGATCTTTAGCGTCTTCATTGTGGTCGTTGGTAGGCGCATAGCATTGGATGATGTTCATTGAAATGCCCTCTTTCTTTGTTTTGAAGGAGGCTTTGATGATCCTTGGTCCATGAGATTCCCATCCTATAAGTGCATTTTGTGCTTGTTTGGGCAGCATCAATGCAACTCCTTGTGTATGTGGAGCATTTTCTTCTTCATGGCCGGAGTATAACAGAAACTCTCCTGAAGCTAGTCGTTGTTGTCCAACTTGCGTCTAATGTGTTTCACTGATCCCAAGCACCTCTAGGTTGTATCTCCTCATTTCTGCAGCAATTTGGAAGACTCTCCCAGTCTCTCACATTGTACGAACATTCCATGTACCTAAATAAATGGTCGCTCTGGTTGTCAGAAGGGGCATCGGCCTCGTAACTTCCGAAGGGATTCGGCTTTCATCATGAGGCGTCATAATTCTTCTAAATGAAGACTTCTGACTCCCAGGGCAGAGCTTAAAAGGTTCGAATAATTTTTTCTGGTTAGCGTTTTTTAGCGAGTTATTTTTCTACATGGTGGGGTCGCTAACCCCTTGCCCAACTCTCCTCCTTTATCCGGTTTGGGACCGGCAGTAGCCCCCTGAGGTACTCCAAGCGGTGATGTTGCTATACATATGAGAGATTTGAATGTTCGGGGAAAAATCCACTTACAACTATATGATTCCCAACTTTTAAAATATAAAACGTTTGTCTAACTGTTACCACGCTACATTAGCATGAGAGTGTGAAACAATGTCTTGTTGGTCAATACATTTGGTCTTCAACCGACAGGTCACATGTTTGAGTCCCATCTCACTTAATTCCGTTTAGGCAGTCGGATATTACAATTTTCTCTTACACACCTAGAGTGTGACCTGAAGTCGAGTACATTAGTCTGTACTTGATGAATGGTTAACAATAAATGTAAAAAAGTCACAAAAATTGCAATATCAGTAATAGTATAAGAATTAAAGTAGTAAGGATATTAGAGTAAGCTAACAGAATTTGGAAGTAATTAATATACAATAAATAAAATGTGATAGAATTTATATGCAGGTAGATCACTGTCTACTGTGATAACACAGGATGATGTACGAATAAGTTGACAACTTCTGTTATCTCAATAATCTCAGACTATAATAATCAATTTTATAATATCACCAGCTTTCACCTATAAGCTATAAATTATTTTATTATCATTGCCTTGATTTTATAAACTTCCAACCAACTCTTAGACTAGCTAATGTCCAACAAAATCTTAGTTGATGTTCAACCTTTTGATTTTAGACTCAAAATTTCATTTAACAGTTAATTAGCTATCGTACTCACACACAAGTGCATCACAACAGAGAGTACACAAACCTGAATTACGGTAAGAGATAAATGTAACTTAAAAATTCTCATAGAATATGTTATGACTTGTGACCGATGATTAATGTGCAGTGACTTATTGATCGGATCCATGACGCGTAAAACACGTGCGAGCAGCCAATAGTCCTGATTGGTCCTGCTTCCCGCCTAGCCCAGCCAGTTGGGTCCAGAACACCAGTCTCAGCCTCTGCAATATGAATCATTATATTTCAAACGTACTGAGTTTATGTACCAATCAAACAGACCACAACGTACCAAAGAAATATGAAACAACATTTGTACAAGAATTAGCCAGATGTGGCTATGAATGAGGGAAATAGTAATTAATATACTGGGTATAACTCAAGAATGGTAAAACGTATAATAATAGTTTGTGGGTCAAAATAAAGCTTGTAATAGGAGGAATATGAATATGAATAGTTTGATTATTTAACAATTATACGATAAAAAATATACGTTTAGTATTGGTCCATCAATAGATCCCAAAAGTTACCATTTATTATTCTTGTCGGGACATAACAGAATATTTAAAAACAAAGTATATTTTTCCAATAATTCCATCTTCCAACTCAATGCTTATGAATTCATAATTATTACAACACATTGGTCAGTATTAAGGCGCGTGCATGATAGAGCAAATGTCATATATTCATCGTAGTCAATTTCACTTCAGTTGAGGTTTAAGTATATGCAAAATTAAGAATTTACTGCCTTAGTTCTTGCATAATCTTTCAACCTTGCGAACGACATATTGGCTACATATTTGAATAAAAATCCGTCTCCATCCTTTTCAACTTTTAACACTACCTAATCCAATCATAACTCGGCTCTATGTATTAATAACTTTGAAATCGGAAGATAAAATTGAGGTTATTGAAAATTGTTTACTGAACTATGAGATATTTCAACTAACTGAACTAGGTATTAACTCGACCAATTAAATAGCAAACTAGTATAGGGTTTGTGGAGATTATTAAGTTTTTGATTGAGATCATGAACCGAGTGGTGACCAGTGGAGCTAATCCATGTCGGGTAGAGACAGGTATCTACCTCAGTACAACGGAAGTTGGTCGCGCGATTTCGTGGATTGGTTGACGTTAGACACTATCACCATTGGATGCCGGCTCAGTGGTCCAGTTGGTTAAGCGTTCGCGCGCGAGGCCGAAGGCCCTGGGTTCGAACCACGCGAGCGGGATCGTGAATGCGCACTACTGAGGAGTCCCACAATAGGACGAAACGGCCGTCCAGTGCTTCCAGGTTTCCAAAGGTGGTGGTCTAACATCAATCGGTTCATGATCTCAATTCAATAGCAAACATTTGATTGGTAAATACTTTATTAACTATTTATTTCCTTATACAAAATCTAGTATATTACAATAACTACACATTTTTCAACATTCAATAAAAGTACAATATCTAGCGTTTAAAACCACTTCTGCATTCATTTTGTAAGTCAGTACTGCGGTATAAAAGTAAGAAATTTAACCGGAGATTTAATACCAATCATCTAAAGCTATCTGCATATACTTTCTATGAACAGGACATTGTAGTGCATCCCAACTTGCCGGATAAAAAATGCAAATAAAGCGCAAGTTGGAGCTTAAAATTAATTCTCCTATGAAAATTATTTTCTTAATTCTTGCATTCGCTCGCTAAATGAACGGTAAACCGATAGATATTGCATACATTGAGAAGCAAATGTGTTACGATTTCACGGACAGGTATCCTATTGCAATTTAGACCACTTCGAAATATTTTACTCAGAATCGTCTTTGTTTTATGCCTTAAAGTTTCACCAGAATTACCTTGGCCTGGTTGTCGAGAATTCTACAGTGCACGTGATAATTGGTTAAGAGGTATTAATCCTATACATTTTACCTATGGTGGTCGTAGAGTATTCAGTACAAATTCTCCAACTGTTTCTACTGATAATCAATTTGTTATATTGGATTGTGGTTTATTGCAGACAGTGAATACATCAATTTTACAAAGTGTTGGTATTCTACGATTAGTTGACATCACTGTATCATGTGTATCTTATCCGAATTCCGTGTTGAAACCGGGTGATCCATCTACATCGTTTTCAAAATCTTCACAGATCAATAAAACATTTCGCGATAATAATAATAATGCACGTATAAAAGCAGAAATTCCAATTGATAAGAATATTTTCATTGGATCAGATAAATTGTTACATAATCTACCTGATACATCATCATTTCTTACCATTGAATTTAAAAATCATTATTGTGTAGATGATACACCAAGCTCAAGTTCATCAAATCAATGTAAGTTTTCATTTTATTGTTGTACAGATGTGTTTTGCTTTCAAATTATCGACTAGATATTGATGGAAAATGTAATAATTCCCAAAAATTCGACCTGGATTAGTCGAAAAGAATTTTCAATAGCCACCATTTGATTTTTTAATCGCTCCCGTATTCTCAGACAATGCTCCCTAAAACCGAACCCGTTTGCTCCTCTTCACTATATATCGCAAATTGGTTGGAGTTGGAAACATGAATCGCTATATTCCAAACTAGTAGTAGTGTAAAGAATTTGTTCTCATTGTGAGACCTTTTTTCTTGTAAACGTAGAATCAGAATTGTTATGACTTGTGAGAATTCAGTTGGTTGATAAACTTATATCTGATTTCAATTTCAAAAGTCGGCTTCTGTTGAGTGGATAGACTGATTATGGCTACATATTTATACGAATTACTCTTTTCATTCAAATTTCGAACTTGTTACATTTTGCTATTATGAATTTCCGATCTGTTTTGTCGATTTTTTGCGCCACTCTGATGAAAGCTCTTCCCTTTTATGTTACACACAATTACTATCGTATCCTAACATAACAGTTCACAGGCAATTTAACCAATTCTGTGGATGATTCTAGTCCCTTTATTTGTCATTGTGATATTTATATCATTTAAAGAATAATTGTATATTCGAATAAACGGTTTTACTAAGTTTAGTTAATCACCTAATTATGTGAAGAACGTATAACCAATTACATCTGTGCATTATTTCAAGTTGCCACAGTTTTACTGCATTGTGTGGTTTTATGTCATCTGTGTTTATTTTAATTCAGTAAATAATTAAAGCTTTGTGTAATCAGCTTCAAGCCACATTTTTCGATAGAAGCTAGCGATGCTAGCTGGTTATCGAAGTCTAAGTCGAGGCATGTGGATGTGAACTATCGTTTTTGTGGTTGACAGCCGAATGCATTCGCAACCGGTCCATTTCATCACGTGAAAGAAGGATTGGGTTATTGATCAAAGGATTCAGGTGCTAACCAATCGTTCACAAATAAGAACTCAGCTCTGGTGTGCTTTAAATGCACGGTCGGAACACCTTGCCTTAATTAGAATACATTGAATACCACAGTTCTCTTTCAGTCTTCCTATCTCTGTCTAATCGAAAAGATAAATCTTATGGGGCAGATTTAACAGTGGAGGCTAAAGAATATCAATTTAAGCATGTCAGTACCGATAAACGGTGAGCGTATCAAAAGGTTGATAAGTAACTAGTGTCTCTAGTCATGGACGACTCGTGTGAGGAAATTTAATGACAGAAAACGGAGACTCAGATGTATAAAATCAAGGAATAAAGAGCAGTGTATCAATATTTTTGAGAATTTAACCTCTTTAATCAATCCCATCTACTTTGGTTTAGGTAACTAGGTAGCACCACTAGCCCCTAAACAAAGTCTTATTCAAAGCTGAGTACATATGTGTTAGATGAGATACATTAATTGAAGTATCGAGAGGTTTAGACGTCCAAGTTGAATTTCGCCAGCTAATTCTAACCCATAGTTGTAGACTGGGCAGTCTTACTCAAAATTTATCACATTACTGTTTAACTAATTCATTCTTTATCTTCCTCGAATTGTTAAATATAAAATATTATTATATACGTTTTCATTATTTCGAATTCATTTGTTTCGTTTAGTATGCTTAGTTTAGTCTCTTATTACCATTATCACTGTTTCGCTTTTGTTAACTTCGTATCACTGTGCTAATATAAATGGTAGCAACTAAGACTTATCCATGCTTGTATTGTTTACAGCTGATTAGCCGGGTACCATTAAATTTCACATTAGTGGTGAGACAGAGAGATCAAATCTTGATGCTAGTTGCTCAATATTAGATTCTAATATGATAGTTGACGAGTAATTTACAAGACTTAATTATTTTAAATACAATACACGGTACATATTTCGAAATATTCACTTCATCACAGAGCTCTGAATTTAAATATAGTTATTGTTCAATACCATCAATGACCCCTTTATGTCTGTAATTATATATATAGTCAATCACCGTTCTGTGGAGTCTTTGTTTAAAAATCGTGTCTCATAGGCTGTTTCTTAAAGATAACTATCAATTAGATTACCGCAGTTACTTCTGTTATTTTTATCAATCCATCATCACGTCCGATTTTGTTTATTGAGTTCTTATTCTCATTATCTTCAATTTCTGTTTCAGCTTTACCATGTTCATTGTTTTGTCAAATCAATCCATTTTATATAAATTTCGATCCAGATACTGTTATATGGTTGAATATATTTCTATTGGCATTACAGTTAAACTTGGTAATTAGATGCATAGTTCATTTTATTATTCTTGTTCATATTTCTATGTTGTTCCTTCTGTGGTTTTCTTTTGGCAATGTCCGTATTGTGTACTGTTAGAGGTCAATACTGTATTTGTGTAACATGGTTTATACAAATTTGTATGCAACTACCAACTTAGGTGTTATTCTGGTTGACACTTTTTAACCAGAGGTATCTACAATCTTCAGGGAACTCCTCATGCGATTCGAAGTCGTCACCCAGTATCGCTGTTAAACTTTTGACTGCTGAGCTATTTGGTTTGTGGTTGACCTCTTGTGGGATATCCATACCTAAGTAATTATTACAAAATTTGTTAGGAAAAGGATATTTAAAAAGCAGCGAGTTGACAACAGAAAAAATACTCTGGTTTTAGACAATCTGACCAAGTCCAATGATATTGAGAATGTTGTAAAACTTTTTTAAATTGTCAACTGTATCACGTGAGATTTGGTGTTCCATACTCTCAACTCTTGTTACGAACTACAAAAAACTTTGGCGCATCGATTTAGACATTTAGTTTCCAGTCAGTGATTCGCAAACTGAATGTCCTCTTTCAACGATCAAATGGTACTCTTAGTTTTCTTGTGTAAATTGAACGCCACTGTTTACTTATTCCTATCTGTTGTTTTTGTTATTGGTTATTCATAATTTTCACAATCTATGGAAATAACAATATTAAACCTTGTGAAGGCTCTTTACTCGAACACTGCCAGTCGAGTCAGAGCTTATGGAGCACTGTCATCTGATTTTGCAACCTTAAGTGGTGTCCGTCAAGGCTGTCTAATATCTCCATTTCTGTTCAACTTCATCATAGATATACTGATGGAAATAACATTCTCGTCGACTGAATTCTCGGGCATTGGTCTCCTTCCAGGTGGTCCACTTATCGGCCTAGAATACGCAGATAACAGTCCTGTTTGGTGAAGACGCTTATAAAATGTAGAGTCTTTTGGTAGCACTAAGCAACAATGCCATAATGTTTGGAATGCGCTTCTCTCCCTCTAAATGCAAGTTGTTGCTTCAAGACTGGTCTGCATCAACACCTGAACTAAGGATAGGGAGTGAAGTAGTCGAACCCGTCGACAACTTCACTTATCTTGGAAGTCTGATCAGCCCTAATGGGCTGGTATCGGACGAAATCTCAGCACGGATTCGAAAAGCTCGTTTGGCTTTTGCCAACTTACGTCACCTTTGGCGAAGACGAGATATCCGTTTATCAATAAAAGGACGAGTATACTGTGCGGTAGTCCGTTCTGTTTTAATTTACGGCAGCGAAACATGGCCATTAAGAGTTTAAGATATTCGTAAGCTACTAGTATTTGACCACAGATGCCTTAGAAATATTGCTGGCGTCTGCTGGGATCATTGGGTAAGTAATAGTGAGGTTAGACGCAGGGTATTAGGGAATGATGGTGATTCAGTTGATGGGGTTGCAAATCTTCAACAATTGAGATTGTTGAGTCACGTGTTACGTATGTCTGAACACCGACTACTTCATGCGTAATGCTGTGACTAATGTTGGGGATGCTTGGGAGAAAGGGGTGGCCAAACCAAAACGTGTCATCAGTCCTTGAAGTTGCTAACTTCTAGTCCTAGCCATATTGGTAGATGCAGACTACTTGGTTGGGGTCCGCTTAACTATCGCAACCAATGGTTGGAGACTCTGGGTGACATGGCTCTGAATCGATCACAATGGCGTAGTTGTATACACTCTTTATCTTCCCTTAAACTATGAGATTAGAATTGTTGTATGTCTTTCTTTCTACGAACTAATTATTTCTTCCTGTATTATATCTTTATACACAGTCTTTTATATATTACTATCATTGAAGTACGTTTTGAATTTCGTTTTCATCTTGTTATGCTAATGAGGTGTGGCAAATTGGATTGATGTTTATATGTGCCTGGTGCTACGTTGTAGCTGACTGACTGAAAAAAATTAGTAGTTATGCTCTCCCAGTGTTTAAAATATTGAACCATTCACAATAATATCATTATCTGAATGCAGTTTTCACCATGAACTGTAATATCTATAAATAGGCTTTGAACAATTATCATACTCATCTTTAACAAGGTCCGTTAAAGAGACTGTTGGATCTAATTAACATTAGCTAAATATCGATCCTCAGATCTGTCTAAAAACATACTACAGGAATTGTAAATAGACCGAGATATGAAAAATGGAGGACATCATAAGCATATGTGAATTAGTTGTATTAAGTTGAAGTGACATATGCAAAGTGTGTTTAATAAAAGCCTGCACTTTACTAGTTCACTGCACGTTTATGTCAGTAGTTCACACGATGTGTGTGTTGGAGTCTTTATCAAAACTTGATTCTGTAATACCTAAAATGAATTCATTAGTGTCAAAAGTAACAATAGAAATTGAAGTAAACTGGCTTACGTCTGTAAATAGTAATTACTCAATATAATGGCAGGTCATACGCAACGTAGAGCCTGACATATGTGCATCATTCCAAGTTGCCAAAGCACATTAACGCAGCGAAATAAAGCTGTCAAAATAAAAATCAGTGTTGCAAAAGTAGTAACGGCATCAGTACGACCGAGGAGCAACCAATATTTTATGGCTTGAAACACTAATCTACATCACGTGCCAGTGTCAACAGTCAGTAATTGACTATAATTTTTTCTATTCCTCATCTACTCAGTTTATAGCCTAGCGTCCTAGACTCGATTAACTATATGTTCTGACCTACACAGTTAACTTCGAGACGATGCAAGCTACACTTCTATTATTCCGGTATCCAAAAGTTTCCTCTCTATTCCAAGCCAGCTTTTACTAGATTTATTTCCAGTAAGCATGGGTATATATACAAACATACTGGACCAAGTCACGCCAAAAATTGAAAAATTACAATTATACACAAAAACTCAAAAGTGGTTGTGAATATGACAATCTGTAAGTAATTGATGGGCGATAAATTAGAAATAATAAATTGTATAATATCAGTTGATAGGTTACGATAAACGGATTGTAGGAACATATTCTAATTGTTTAGCAATTATGCAATGAGAATATAGTAATAATCCATAAAACAGTTCCGGAAGTTATCATTTCTATAATATCCCTCCTGATACGACAAATGTGGTCACACTTCATACTTTCACAAGTGTTGGGACATTAACTAGATGTAAAACAGTGTAGTAATAAAGAAATGATAATAGTAATACAGTGGTAGGGATTATAATTTTAAACTCAGTGACTTGAGTACACACATAATAATAGGTGTTTATTAATATTAATGTAATATATAAAGTAGAATCATCTTTAGTTAGTCATACGCAACTTAGAACCTGACATATGTTTCGGTTCATATTACCCCACACAGTATGAGCACAGCTAGATGGAATTGTTAACACAAATCCTTTAGTATTAGTATTAGTCATAGTCCTTGTAGTAAGGGTTAGTTATAGAAAAATGAAGGAAAAGGTACACAGTGATGTTAGGACTAAGGTTCTAAAGAAAAACAAAGGGTGAATACATTTCGAGCTATTCTGTTTCCATGTTACCTAAAGTCTCTAACCATTAATTACGAAATTCAGAGGGATCCCAACGAGGTAGTCTATACCCATTAACATGGCTCAGTTCAGTTGTCAGTGACTTCGCGGATTGGTGCCACATCTTGGCTTTGGGGTCATTAGCTTTCTTTTAGTATACTCCCACAGCAAACGACGTCTCCCATCAAGGTAGTTAGTGATTAATCGTATGAAATACATGTTTCAATCACTTCAGTTGATGCAAAATGCACTACCTCACCAATCAATTTTTCATCTTTAACTAGTACCTTTTGCCTATTCTCGACATTGCTCGTCCGATGATCTCAGAATACACGATCGATGCTTCGAAGACACCTTTGATTGAATACCCGTAATCTAGGAATATGCTCTATTCTTAATTGCTGTTTCACTTCCATAAAGTAGGGCGGAGCGGACTGTTGCTCATTGAACCTACCCATTGGTTGGGAGACGGACTCAAGTTGTTAAACACCAATCGAATGGTCGACTCACGCAACTACTTCCTTTTTATGAGTAGTTCAGGTGCCTATACGAAACAGTTGTGAAGCAAAATTCTGAATTTGAAGGAAGGGAAACGCATTCCAAACGTGCTTGCATTGTTCATTAAGGCGGTCAGAAAACAGAACTATATCATTTGTGTATTCTAAGTCAACATGTGAATCTCCTGGTAGGAAACCAATCCCTTAAAAGTTAGACAGAGAGAGTTATCTTTAGAATAATGTCCATAGCAAAGTTGAGTAAAAATGGGTAATGTAGACTGCCATGAAGAACATAACGTAAGGTTGATGATTCTGATGACAGTTCCCTGTAAGCTATGACTCGACCATTATTGTTGGAGTAGAGAGCCTGTATATAGTTAATGTGCTTCTTCTGTACACCCTTCAGTTACAAAAACAGCCATAAAACCTGTCGACCAACAGAGTCGAATGTTATCTCTGGGTTGATACAGCTATAGTCAGACATCGAAAAGTATGTCTGTGTTCCAGAAACTGACGAATTGCTAATATTCGGTCGATGCATCGACGCTTAGGTCTAAAACCAGACTGGTTTTCCCGGGTTAGTCCTTTTCGGCCCCTAGTTAATCTGGTGACCCGAAGGCCAGCTCTCGTGGACTGGCAGGAGTAGGCATAGCACTAAGCATGAGGGCGGAACAAGCACTGTTAGAGTGGATTCCCGTCAACAGTCGTTTATGTGCTGTTCGGCTAAACGGCTCCGTGAGAACTCGGAAGGATAGGGACACACGTCATTGCCTTTTTGTCGTTTCTGCCTACGCTCCCACCGACTGCAGCTCAGATGAAATGAAAGATGAATTTTACAGAAAGCTATCTGAACTTCTTCAGTAAGCTAAACGTTCAGACATAGTACTCGTAGCAGGTGACTTTAATGCTCAGATAGGTAGTTTAAACCAAACAGAAAGGCATTTAGGTGGGTATTTTAGTATTCCGGCACAACGAACAGATAATAGTGATCGTCTGCTGCAACTATGCTCAGACAATCGCTTGATTTTAGCAAACACAAATTTTAAGCATAACATGGCGACCCCCTACACCAAACCAATAATGGACTCAAATAGACCATATTGCCATCAGTCATCAATGGAGAGGCTCAATCTTGAGTACCTGCTTGGACTCCGACCATGCCCTAATACGGGCACGCATCTGCTTGCGCCTCACTGGACGCAAAAAAGCCACACTAAAACGAACCATTAGAACTGAGTTGAGTAACGAGAAAACCAAAAGTAGGTTCCAGGAACAACTGAGGTCACACTTAGGTAGTTCTGAAAACGAGGCTGACCCAGATGTTGCTTGGAAAGATATACAAACAGCTGTGGAAACAGCAATGAAATCTATTAGTGACTTGAACCACAGAGTTACAAAGAACCAGTGGATTTCTTCAAAGTCTATCACACTGATGGATTCTCGCAAACTCGTCCCATCAGGTTCCGAACATGATGAAGAGCGACAACAAATCAGATCTAGGTTAAGAAAAAGTCTAAGAAACGACCGTGAGCAGTGGTGGGCAACGAAAGCAAAAGAAATGGAAAAGGCGGCGACTATAGGGAACACAAGACAGCTTTACAGACTAATAAAAGAAACTGGAACTAATAAGTCAAGTGTAAGTGAGATTATTTCGTAAAAAAAAGACGACATTCTCATCTGCTTCCAGTCCAGACGTTTAGAACGATGGGCGGGACATTTCAGAGAACAGTTCAGCTGGCCTTCAGCTACTCTACAACTACCCTCCATTCCCAGACAGTGTGAATGGAACATTGAAGTAGATCCCCAAACTCTAGCATATGTTCAAAAGGCTATAGTTAATCTGAAACAAGGAAGGGTAGCTGGTCCAGATGGATTGGCTCCAGAAGTCTTTAAGGATGGTGGTCCAATTTTAGCGATTAGGTTGACTAATATTTTAGCTAAGATCTGGGAATTAGACTTTATCCCATCTGACTGGTCGCAATCACTTATCGTCCCAATATATAAGAAAGGGTCAAAATCATCCTGTGACAACCACAGAGGGATTAGTTCAACTAATATAATATCTAAAATACTAGCCTGGATAATTATCAGACGCCTAACTAAGACTCGTGAACTGCAAACACGAGAGAATCAAGCTGGCTTCGACCTGGTCGTGGCTGCATCGACCACATATTCACCATTCGTCAGGTTCTAGAACATAGGCATACTTATCGGCGTCCGACAATGGTGGTCTTTCTTGACTTAAAAGCAGGATTTGACTCGGTAGACCGCGACATTCTGTTGCTGTGTCTGTTATTTAATGGCGTACCCCAGAAGTACATAAACTTTGTGAAGGCTCTTTACTCGAACACTGCCAGTCGAGTCAGAGCTTATGGAGCACTGTCATCTGATTTTGCAACCTTAAGTGGTGTCCGTCAAGGCTGTCTAATATCTCCATTTCTGTTCAACTTCATCATAGATATACTGATGGAAATAACGTCCTCGTCGACTGAATTCTCGGGTATTGGTCTCCTTCCAGGAGGTCCACTTATCGGCCTAGAATACGCAGATGATATAGTCCTGTTTGGTGAAGACGCTGACAAAATGCAGTCTTTTGGTAGCACTAAGCAACAATGCCATAATGTTTGGAATGCGCTTCTCTCCCTCTAAATGCAAGTTGTTGCTTCAAGACTGGTCTGCATCAACACCTGAACTAAGGATAGGGAGTGAAGTAGTCGAACCCGTCGACAACTTCACTTATCTTGGAAGTCTGATCAGCCCTAATGGGCTGGTATCGGACGAAATCTCAGCACGGATTCGAAAAGCTCGTTTGGCTTTTGCCAACTTACGTCACCTTTGGCGAAGACGAGATATCCGTTTATCAATAAAAGGACGAGTATACTGTGCGGTAGTCCGTTCTGTTTTAATTTACGGCAGCGAAACATGGCCATTAAGAGTTTAAGATATTCGTAAGCTACTAGTATTTGACCACAGATGCCTTAGAAATATTGCTGGCGTCTGCTGGGATCATTGGGTAAGTAATAGTGAGGTTAGACGCAGGGTATTAGGGAATGATGGTGATTCAGTTGATGAGGTTGTTAATCTTCATCGACTGAGATGGTTGGAAGAGAATTACTGACGGCCAAACCAAAACGTGGCATCAATGCTTGAAGTCACTAACCTCTAGTCCTAGCCATATTGGTAGATGCAGACTACTTGGTTGGGGTCCGCGTGACTTTCGTAACCAATGGCTGGAGACTCTTGGTGACATGGCTCAGAATCGATCACAATGGCGTAGTTGTATACACTCTTTATCTTCCCTTAAACTAAGAGATTAAAATCACTTCATATCTTTCCTTCTACTAACTAATTCTTTCTTCCTGTACTGTATCCTTATATGCAATCCTTTTCCTATATATTACCACCTTTGACCTACCACTCCTATGAATACGGTGTTCATCTTGCTGTGCTAATGAGGTATGGCAACCTGGATCGATGCATATATGTGCCTGGTCCTACGTTGTAGCTGACTGACTGCTGACTGAGTTAATCGTTGGACGACTAATTAAGTTAACATTTTAGATACTATGTCAGTTAAACTGATGTCTCTATGAATGTTACAAGAGGAGTTTTGTATTATTTTGTAAACTGAGACAATCAACGATCCAGACCAATTAGAAGTGATTTTTCCACTCCCCGAATCTTAGCTAATGTCTCAGTCGAACTAACCTCTAAAACTGGACCACAACCTTCTAATGCCATTGGGATTAATCTCTCTAGACTTGCTGTTTTCCTTCCCTTTAGATCACCTGTAACCTTTTTAAGAGTTAAAGGATTTATGTCAATTTGCCATACAGATTATTTGGAGATAGTAGGGAATTGAAGAGTTTCTGAAGGCTAGTTAAACTGTCCGCTAAGGTATTCTTCCCACCGGTCCAATATTCTAGACCGAGAGTCGACATTAGTCCCATGGTCTTCCGATTTTTAGTGCATGTTTCGCTGATAATTCTGAATATTTGTATATTGCTGTCTTTTGCTTCTGTTTTTTTTTCAAATTTGCTTTCGTTAACCACCACTGCCCACGATCATTGCGCAAGCTTGTTCCCGTTCTACGATAAACCAACTCCGCTCCTCATGGTGTTTGAAACCTGACGATATAAGTTTCCAAGAATTTGTTAGTTCAATAGATGGTACAGAAATCATCACCTTTTGGTTTAATTTACTGTTAGATCTCACTGCTGTTTCCAAATTTGTTTGCTCCCATTTAGATGATGATAAATATCACTTTGACTTCCACTTATCATTTTAATTAATTCATATGAATCACCATCGTATTTTCGTCACTACTCTGTTGCTGTGGTTAAAGCAATCAATTTCTAACCAGTAATTTTCTATGTTCAAATCCTACTTGGCTTACTTTTGTTTAGATAACTAGGTAGGAATATTACTAATCATCTAATTGTGTAGCTCAAAAATAAGTCCATTAAAATTGTAGCTAGTAAACATATTTCATGTATTCTGTTGTTTTATTACTCATACTTCCCCCTCCCTTTTCTTCATTCATTAATTTTAGCTTCGATTTCAGGTTTGTTTATTTGAATATTAATTCCTTATTTGGAAAAAAGTTGTCGTTATTATTAGTATTCCATTGTCGTATGTTGTTGTTGTCCTAGCGTTTTTGTACTAAACGCACGCAGCAATTTTGTTTTTCTTAATACTATCCATCTTCCAAAATATATTTGTTTACTTGTGTGAAGTTTAATCTACCGCTGTTGTTCTTATTATTGTATTCATTTATCTATCTATCTGTTTTTGAGAATGCGTCTATCAGGTTATATAATCATAAGTAAGATTATATTTGAAATTAAAAACCCATTTATTTCACATACTTCGTTCAATGTAAAATTATCTTGAGTTTACCTGTATTGCTGTCATGTACGTTCAGGACTGCTGAATCTTCGAATGAAACACATGGTTAATAAATTTTGTATATATGTTAATAAAATAAAGGAATTGAGGTGATTGTTCTATTTAACATAGATTTTCATCACAGGCTAACATTAGTTAAAGGTCTCTCGTCTAGACTCATTCTATTCTAGACTTCATTCTATTCAGAAGCATCTACCACTATGTTTTAACAAGGTACAACATATGTCAATTATGTCATCCATTTTGTAATATTTATTAAACATAGGACATCCAACCTCCGACTTGTCCTTTGTCATCATTTATAAAATCCAGTCAAAGACACCAACAGATATACATCTAAACCAATTTTTTCTTATAGAAGCCTAACCTATCCATAAAGTATGGTCCGCGTTGTTTGTGCAAAAATGACTTGTTTGATATCAACCTTTCGTTAATATACCGTTAGTTTATGGATTTGTTTTGTTTGGTTGCTCAATTTCTTTTTACTGTTTTACTCCTATATCTACAGAATTAGTTATCATTATTATTGTCACAAATGTTTCGATATCGATTGCTGGATCACCATCCACATATCTTCATTTCAACTTAACGATGCTTCTAATTACTCTGTTCACTCGATTAATTGAATATTTTTAATGTTTCATAAATTCCCTCTTTATTTGTTTGTTTAAAAACATGTGGTTTAATTTCACTTAATATCTAATCAAATTCTAACCAACAGAATTATTCGTAGACCTGTAATATGTCACATACATATACGATTGTACAGTATTGAAATTAAACTCGCCGAAGAGAATTCTTACGCTGAAAAAATGTTTTCTAGCTGCAGAATCGTTCAAAAACCACAAACCATCAGACAATTATTTTCAAGTTTTGTACGGTCCTTAGTAAAGCATGTCTGCAACACTAAGTGAGCTCGGACTCAGGACCTAGATGTTTTGCAGTTAGCATGTTACCTTTTAGTTCACTGCGTTGAGATTCGATTTTTCAAACACCAATTCGCATTACTGTACAACCATCAGTCAATACCATCAATTATCTCGATAGTTATAACGATAAAATCAGACTTAACCAATATTAGAACAACACATAAGCGAACAATTGTTTTCAATTAGATCGTCATCAGGCTTTACTTTATTATACATGAAAACCTTCCACGTAAAGGCCGTGCGCGACCGGCCTCAAGCAGTTGTCCCTTGGGCTCTGCGGTCATGCTCCCAGGTCGTTAAGACCAACACTAATCTAATTTCCTTTTCAGGTTCCTCAAGAAATACCCTTCCACGGTGTGGGCAGCCGGAAAGTGACACCAGCCCTCATACCCGTAACAGCACACGAGACCAAGTTGGTCACATTCAAATCCTTCCTACACTTCCTAATACTACTCTTATCTCCATGACTAACCTTTATCACATCCCTTTATCATCTCGTACCGCTAGGGAAAACGATTGGAGTACGCGGAACGTTATTCCTGGTCTCCTGAAATCACGCTCTAAACTCCATGTTAGAGCTTATAACGTCCGAACACTGTGTCAAATAGGACAACAAGCTTCCTTAGCTAGGACTTTAGAATCTCTCACCATCGATATGTGCTGTGCCTCCAAAACGCTCATACAGGATCCGAGTAGCGTCATTCAATTGACATCACCATGTCAAAATAGAGAGCCAACTCGATTCACACTTCGTGTATCTGGAAGCCCTGATGCTGCTTCCCGTGGCCTCGCCGGCGTAGGCATAGCATCGAGTCCTAGGGCAGAAATAGCTCTCTTAGACTGGATCCCAGTAGACAGTCGTTTGTGCGCTGTACGACTAGACGGAACAGTAAGGACTCGGAAAGGTAGGCACACTCGTCGTTGCCTCTTTGTCGTCTCTGCCTATTCTCCCACTGACTGCAGCTCAGATGATGTAAAAGATGAATTTTACAGAAAGCTTTCCGACCTCCGAAAAGCTAGGCGCTCTGATGTAGTAATAGTGGCTGGTGACTTTAATGCTCAAGTAGGTAAACTAAGCGAAAGGGAAAGACACCTGGGTGGATCTTATGGTGTCGTGGCTCAAAGAACAGACAATGGCGACCGTCTATTACAGCTATGCTTAGATAACCGCCTGTTTCTTGCAATTACTAACTTTAAGCATGAGGAAAAACATCTTTTAACATGGCGACCCCCTAAATCGTCCCAACGTTGGACCCAAATAGATCACATCGCTATCAGCCACCGATGGAGGGGCTCAATAGAAGACTGTCGCTCATTCTGGAGCATATGCTTAGATTCAGATCATGCTCTAGTGCGAGCGCGTATTTGCTTGCGTCTTACTGGACGTAAGAAAGATGCTGCAAGGAAACCTCTTAGGGCCCTACTTAATGATAGTCAAGCTAAGAGTATATTTCAGGATCCACTAGAAAAACAGGCAGCCATGTAGGTGATGCCCACCCCGAGGCAGCATGGAATGATATCCGAAGAGCTGTGGAAACCGCAGTGATATCTGCTAGTACGGTAAAGCGTAAGGTTAGGGAGCAACACTGAATCTCAGCAGCAGCTACCGCACTGATAGATGCTCGAAAACTCATTCCATCTGGCTCTGAACATAACGAAGAGCGGAGTCAGCTTAAGCACAAGCTGACAAGAAGCCTACGCAATGATCGCGAACAGTGGTGGATAGCGAAAGCAAGAGAGATGGAAAAGGCAGCGGCAATAGGTAATAGCAGACAACTGTTCAGACTTATTAAGGAAACCGGTATTAGGAACCTGACTGTTATCGAAACTATCTCAGAAAAAGATGGACATATTATACATTCTCAATCCAGGAGATTGGATCGATGGGCAGAACACTTTAGGGATCAGTTCAACTGGCTTTTAGCCACACTTCGGTTTCCCACGATCTCCAGTTGACCTGGATGGAAAGTTAATATAAATCCTCCGACTCTTTACGAAGTTGAGAAAGCTACAGGAAATCTGAAGCGAGGGAAAGCAGCAGACCCTGACAGGTTTACTCCTGAGATTTTTAAGGATGGTGGTCCAGTATTAGCAGTGAGATTAACTGAGGTCTTAGGTAGAATTTTGGAACCGGACGCAATCCCATCTGACTGGTCTCAATCACTGATTGTGCCAGTCTATAAGAAAGGACAAAAGTCCTCTTGTGACAATCACACAGGAATCAGTCTGACTAATATGGTGTCTAAAATATTAGCTTCAATAATACTTCGACGCCTAACTAAAGCTCGTGAAGAGCGGACTAGAAGAAACCAGGCTGGTTTTCGACCTGGACGTGGCTGTATAGACCAGATATTCACACTACATCAGGTCCTAGAACATAGACACACATTCAGATGCCCCACAATCATAGTATTTCTCGACCTTAAGGAGGCATTCGACTCTGTTGATCGTGAGGTTCTATGGCAGTGTTTGTCACTGAAAGGAGTACCAAAAAAGCACATTAACCTTGTAAAAGCTCTCTACTCGAACACAACTGGTCGAGTGAGAGCTTATGGCGAACTGTCATCAGAATTGATTACCTCAAGTGGTGTTCTCCAGGGCTGTTCACTCTCTCCATTCTTGTTCAACTTTGTCGTTGACGTGCTTTTAGAGATAACACTTTCCTCACCTAAATTTCGAGGGGTTAGACTTCTACCGGGAGATTCACTTGTTGACTTAGAATATGCCGATGACGTCGTTCTATTTGGTGGAAACGCTGACAAAATGCAGTCTTCTGACCACTCTAAGCAACAATGCAAGCATGTTCCGGATGCGATTCTCCCCTCGAAATGCAAAATGTTGCTTCAGGATTGGGTTGCATCGACACTCGAACTAGTGATAGGGAGTGAAGTAGTTGAGCGTGTCGACCGCTTCACTTATTTTGGGAGCCTCATCAGCCCTTGTGGTCTGGTATGTGACGAAATCTCAGCACGGATACAGAAAACTCGACTAGCTTTTTCCAACTTGCGTCACTTATGGCGTAGGAGAGATATCCGCCTATCAACCAAAGGACGTGTTTACTGTGCAGTAGTTCGTTCCTTCCTACTTTATGTCAATGAAACATGGCCAGTAAGAGTAGAGGATATTCGTAGGTTACTAGTATTTGATCATAGATGTCTTCGAAACATTGCTTGTATATCCTGGGACCATCGAGTAAGTAATACAGTTGTTAGGAAACGGGTACTAGGTAAGGATGACAAAGAAATTGATGAGGTAGTGAAACTTCATCAGTTGAGATGGCTGGGACACGTGTTACGTATGCCCAACGAACGACTTCCTCGACGTGCGATGTTCAGTGGTATAGGAGTAGATTGGAAGAAAGCTAGGTACGGCCAGACCAAAACATGGCACAAGTCCATGAAGTCACTGACAAATGGACTGAGTCATGTTGGCAGGTGTAGACTACCTGATTGGGGATCGCGATATGATAGAAACCGATGGTTAGATACCCTGAATGACATGGCTCAAAATCGTTTGCAATGGTGTGCGCGGGTGCATCCACTTTGTGTTCTCCCAAATTTTAATCTTCTGAATTCTTCATGTCCCTTTCTTTCTTCTCTTCCCAAATTTATTTCACTGTATCATACTCCTTGAATAACATCTCCAAACCCTAATCTTTCCGATTACTGCTTATACTCTTATTACCTCTACCACTACGGGATTTGAATCGACCACTGTATCTCTGTGCTAATGTGGTGTGGCAACTCGAACTGATGTACGTACGTACGAAGTTATACGTTGTTACTGACTGACATGAATATTTATACGAAAATGTTAAACCAATCAAGACTTGTATTTTTACTTATTATGCGTGGTGAGCTATTCTATTTCATTGTGATTATTGACCCATATTGCCTTGATTGGTTTAACATTTTCGTATAAATATTTATGTATATTAGAGTAAAACTTGATGACGGTCTAATTGAAAACAATTGTTCGCTTATATGTGTTGTTCTAATTTTCACAATGAGAATCTTTAATATTTTAACCAATATTAGCTATTCTCACTAGAACTTCTTGGGATTCTTCTCCAAGCTAATCAATAGTAAACATAAAACAAATGCATACATTCTTAATGTATATCTGTAAAATCTGAGCTCCAAGCATTTGTAAGATCGATTTTGTTCCTCACATCGTTGCACTGAAGGACCTTTAGCATAACAAAAACAAATCATGAATTTTGATTTTTACTACCTAGAAATAGTTTGACTAGATTAGTTATAAAATAGTTGATTTATTTATTTATTACTGGTACATGTTTTGTTCGTTAATCACAGTTCTTATTTATTTATTTGTTGTTCGGTATTATTCGTCAATAAATAAAACATACTGTTATTGATTTACACTATTAACTTCAAGGCTGCAATTGTTGACACAATGTGAAACTGTTTGAATAAGGCAATAGCTTTCAACTTATTGTAATTTATACATGTAAACGTTTATAAATACGGACTATCTGAGGTACTTTTAATTCTTAAGTCGATCTATCTTTAATTTAGTTTAATTCACGAAGACATTTGGATGAAAGATGGCTAACTTTACTTCATTAGAAAAATAGAGGATGGAACGTTTCATGTAAGCGTTTACTATCCTAAATTAAGACCGTACTTATTCTCAGGATACAGATTGGATTAAACCATATTCCGGCCATGATTGTGTTGGAGCACGCTGATTGGTTGTTCCCTAGCCAATCAACGCTAGCGGATAATTGACATTTGAAGTTCATTTTCTTTACAGACTGACGTCGATTGTAGAAACATTTGAAATTGAGGTGTACTGTTGAGTGCATCTTTTCGAACCTCGTATGGGTTCCTATCCACGACTTTCAGGTTTACATTTTTAATCATCTTATTGATCATTTAAGTTGTACTGCCAGTTTTTGCATAGAAAAAAAGCCATATGTGTCGTATGTCGTGGATGCATAAATAAATCACACCTCAAGTATATAAATGACTTAACATTTTTTTATCTGTGGCAAGCCCATTTGGCCACTGTATCATCTGTCTATTCATTGTAACTCAGACTCTTAATTCACTATGTTAATTTCGGTGTGTATGATCGAATGCATGTCTGTACATTAACTCTTAAGCTATCCTCCTATTGGTTTCAAGTGCAGATAATCGATAATTTATCCACACCCGATTAACTCGGAAAAATATATATGGATTTTAAACACACACATACTCACTCACTCCTTTCATCGTGTGCTTGCTCACCGTACGATTGTGGATTTTTATTAATCATTAACAATAAACTATCTCTATAACTGGTGTTCAGTCTTCTCAATAATCTCGAGTAAATTCGCAATTCCTACCTAAAACACTCATTTACGGGATATTATTTATTGGAGTCAGATATTGAGGACATTAGCCTCCATATATCAAAAGACGGTTTTGTGAACATTTAAGTAATTTTATGGTTGAGTTCATGAGTTAATTCAAGTTAAACCACCATGAAAAACCTGGAAGCACTGGACAGCTAGATCGTGGATGCGCATTGCTGAAGAGTCCTATACTAGGACGAAACGGCCATCCAGTGCTTTCAGGTTTTTCATGGTGGTCTAGCTTTAATTGACCCATAAACTTAATATTTGTTGTTGTGAATGATGCTGAGAAGAGTAGTCAAAAGAAAAGTTTATTATTTGTGAATTAATTTGCACATTTCAACAGTTTTTCCTTGATATTTCGGTGTTTAGGTTTTTTTTATTCATCAATGATTGTCATATCTGAAGATGGTCTACATGGCGAACTAAATTTAACTAGATAAGTATTGAAACGTAGAAAGCATTGGTCATTTGCTTCGCCCACTTTCGGGCCTCCTGAACACTGCATGACCTCGTCAAAAAATAAAACCCTATAACTCCGGTCCCAGCGTTGAGCGATTTGACGTCCACCAACCGATATTTCCAATCTCATTCAGTTCGGCTACACTGATCTCTCATTTTAATTACGTACTTAAAAAGGTAATAATAGATTTGTGACCATTTACCCTACATTTCGCTATTTCGAATGATGAGATAAGGAAAATGCCTCAACTTGCACAAGATAGGTGAACATACATCAACGAAGTTGACTCTGACTTTTCCTTACTTCAATAAAAGACAACAAGCAGTATTCAATTGTCGTTCAGTTTTCAATTTAGAAGATTGGTTTAATTATGATCTGTTAGTATGTGGTCATTGTAACGCACCAGGCTGGTGATTTCATGTCTTAGTGCAAGAAATACTAAGTCGGTCATGGTAAGCTCAAGTGATAAACTTTGAACAGAATGAAACATGCTAGCTATCGCTTTTTAAATATGTTCCCTTATTGGAGTATTGATGGAAATCCCTTTTCCCACCTTGATATAATAAAGATTTGTAGCGTAGGTGGATAATTTTGGTTTTATTCTATGATCTGGATAGTCTGGTCATGTGGCTTTCATTGTTCTTCTGAACAACATCATCGGCAAAAACTTCAGTTAGAAGTGAAGTGTTCGGGTTTCTCTGCATATGAATCACAGCTTTTCCTGTCGACCTTAATGTTGACTAGTTGTTGTTGACCTCTGATCCGTCATTATGTCCCTCTTTATTTTTATTGTATCTTACTTCGGTCTGACTCTTGATCTTGTATAATGATTGGGGATGATTGGATTTCTATCAGTGAAATTCTTTTTAGGCATGTATACTTTGTCAACCTATGTGAAGCGTATCTAAGTTTCTTATTTCTCGGTTTTCATAGTGCTACTTTGTAATTATTTTCCATTTTTAGTTTTTGCTAAATCAGAACTCATTTTTGTTATATTTATTTAGTCAACTTTCTTATCCGGCAGAGATACAAACCATCCGTCGAAACAACCCAACAGACTATTTGATTTAAATCGATATCATGTACGACTTGAAGCTTTGATGCCTCGTGTAAGTAGAATTTTTCAAAGTGTTTTGCTTACTATTTCTAGATTTATGATAATCTAATAAGATTCTACGTTTATTTCTAAGCATTAATAGTTGAACTTTCCAACCTCTGATATTAAGAAATTGTGTAAATGAAATACGTGCCTACGTGGCTTTATAAAAAGTTTACAAGCTGTTCACAAGTTAAGTGGATATATGACCTGAACTTGTTGTAACATTGCACATTTTGTGCTCATAATTTTTCACCGTGAGTGTAGGGTACAAGACCACTATATATATATTATTGTTAACTAAGTGAATTGGTTATTTAATACAATATGATGATTTTGGTTTTCATAATATTTACTGTAACATCCGGATGTTGGTAAGTTTGTGTATCCATTATGGAAGTAAAAAGGGTAACTCATATTCTGTGCTCAGGTTCGTGTATCCGTTATTTAGTTTTGTAATGTATAATGATGCTGTCTAGTCTGCCAAGCCAAACAGACGGAACTGTGTTCTAATCTGCATACTAATTGGAAATCAAATGCTTTAACCACTAAACCGTTTAGAGTTCCATTATTATTGGACAAGAGTAAGGTGAAAATAATACTTGTAACAATCCTGTTGAGTAGAGAAAATGAAAAAGGTTGAAATGCTTTACATGGAATACGCTATTTACCTAATGACAAATGTAATTGATAATAGTTAACAGTATTCCAGAATGAAATTGAAACAATATAATAATTGAAGTTTAAAATGAGATTATTTGTAGGTAATACTCGTTACGAATCGATTTCAGCCTGGGTCATTATTAAAGACCAGGAAATACTAAACAGATAACTTGTCCCTACATAAGACCCCGTCAAGAATGGAATATGGGACTTGAGGTCTTGTGGAGAGTACTTGATTTAAAGCAATTAGACCCTTTTATAAATTTCGATAGAACAACGAGAAGACGGAGTTGATCTGAAAAATGTGATGTATTTGCACTATACATTTCTAACAATCTGGTCACACATATACTTGTCAGGGCATTTTTATATGAAAGTACTAAAGGTCAAACAAATAAAAGTCCAATTAAAATAACTAAGGGGAGAGAAAGAATAAGAAATTGTCGCGTTATCCTAGGCCATAGAATGACTTAGGAATTACCAAGGTAAATTCAAGGTTACGACAAATTGTTTTTGTACACATAAGGGGGGGGGTTAAATTTACGAATAGCCAAGGCTTCAATAAACTTAAGAATACGAACTTGACAAGGTCTATACAACGTTCTAAATGCTGTATTAATGTCAATTTTGTGCCCCGTCTCAATTATATGTTTCGCTATCGATGAACTTGGTTTTCTACCCCCTACATTGATCGGATCATTTGACTCACATTGATTTTGAAGCCATCTAGGTACATGTTCATTGACCCTTGATTGCATTGTTCGAGTACTCCTCCCTATGTATGTGTGTCCACATAAACATGTAAATTGGTAAATACAATGGGATGTGACGTAATCATTGGTGCATTGTTTGGGTCTATTAGGAATTATGGCCTTAAACTTTTCAATCACAACCAACTGAGCAGCATAATGCGTATTCTCGATAGCTGCTTTCAATCTCTGTCTTAAAACTCTACTGTTAGATTCGCCTCTATATGGTAGGTTGATATAAACTTTTTTCTTTGACACTGAATAAATTAGAGGTCGTGGCATTCACTGACTTTTGCACCTATTAATAAACTTGAGTGGATAACCATTTGCTATTAATGTGTCAGTCAGTAACTTTTCATCTTTTTCCACCATGTCAGAGGTACATATACTTTGAGTCCTCTTAAAGAGACACTTAACCAGACCTCTCTTGTATTGCAATGGACAGAAACTATGGAAATTTAAGTATTGTCCCGTCCAAGTTGGTTTCCTATACACTGACCGTCTAATAGTGCCATCCCTTCAACTTAAGAGTATGTCTAGAAAGGCTAATTGGCCATTACTTTCTGATCCATGTGTCATCACAATATCGTTTTGAACACCATTGAGTTTATCCAATAATCAGTAAGCATCAAAATCCTTATCACATATAATTAGGATATCGTCCATATATCTTCTATAAAAAGTTGTCTCACTAATAAGGTCGCTCGTCATATTTTCCACATATGACATGAACACATCAGCTAAGAGAGGCTCCAAAGGGCTACCCATAGCTACACCATCAACTTGTCGAAAATATTCACTATCAAACGTAAATTGAACATTAGCTGTACATAATAAAAATAATTCTTTCAAAAATGGTATTTATTATTATTATTATTAGCTTTATTCAATATTATAATTTTGGTACAATATAGAATTCTCAGCGCAAAGTATTTCAACAAGTTTCCGTTTCTTTCTTCTTGGTCGGTCCTGGCGATAAATATTGAGGAATCATTATGTTTATTAATCGCATAACCTATTCTGCTGCGTTTCTGAAAAGTGTACAACCTTTCGTTGTCAAAGTTACAGAAAACTCAATAAGAGACAATATGGTTGCTGGCAATGTACAACGAAAAGAATGTACATTATTCAGTTGTTCATTCACTGAAGTGCTAACATCTAACTGTCGATTCCTCAATATTTATCGCCAGGACCGACCAAGAAGAAAGAAACGGAAACTTGTTGAAATACTTTGCGCTGAGAATTCTATATTGTACCAAAATTATAATATTGAATAAAGCTAATAATAATAATAATAAATACCATTTTTGAAAGAATTATTTTTATTATGTACAGCTAATGTTCAATTTACGTTTGATAGTGAATATTTTCGACAAGTTGATGGTGTAGCTATGGGTAGCCCTTTGGAGCCTCTCTTAGCTGATGTGTTCATGTCATATGTGGAAAATATGACGAGCGACCTTATTAGTGAGACAACTTTTTATAGAAGATATATGGACGATATCCTAATTATATGTGATAAGGATTTTGATGCTTACTGATTATTGGATAAACTCAATGGTGTTCAAAACGATATTGTGATGACACATGGATCAGAAAGTAATGGCCAATTAGCCTTTCTAGACATACTCTTAAGTTGAAGGGATGGCACTATTAGACGGTCAGTGTATAGGAAACCAACTTGGACGGGACAATACTTAAATTTCCATAGTTTCTGTCCATTGCAATACAAGAGAGGTCTGGTTAAGTGTCTCTTTAAGAGGACTCAAAGTATATGTACCTCTGACATGGTGGAAAAAGATGAAAAGTTACTGACTGACACATTAATAGCAAATGGTTATCCACTCAAGTTTATTAATAGGTGCAAAAGTCAGTGAATGCCACGACCTCTAATTTATTCAGTGTCAAAGAAAAAAGTTTATATCAACCTACCATATAGAGGCGAATCTAACAGTAGAGTTTTAAGACAGAGATTGAAAGCAGCTATCGAGAATACGCATTATGCTGCTCAGTTGGTTGTGATTGAAAAGTTTAAGGCCATAATTCCTAATAGACCCAAACAATGCACCAATGATTACGTCACATCCCATTGTATTTACCAATTTACATGTTTATGTGGACACACATACATAGGGAGGAGTACTCGAACAATGCAATCAAGGGTCAATGAACATGTGCCTAGATGGCTTCGAAATCAATGTGAGTCAAATGATCCGATCAATGTAGGGGGTAGAAAACCAAGTTCATCGATAGCGAAACATATAATTGAGACGGGGCACAAAATTGACATTAATACAGCATTTAGAACGTTGTATAGACCTTGTCAAGTTCGTATTCTTAAGTTTATTGAAGCCTTGGCTATTCGTAAATTTAACCCCCCCCCTTATGTGTACAAAAACAATTTGTCGTAACCTTGAATTTACCTTGGTAATTCCTAAGTCATTCTATGGCCTAGGATAACGCGACAATTTCTTATTCTTTCTCTCCCCTTAGTTATTTTAATTGGACTTTTATTTGTTTGACCTTTAGTACTTTCATATAAAAATGCCCTGACAAGTATATGTGTGACCAGATTGTTCGAAATGTATTGCGCGAGTAATTTATTATTAGACCACCAGACTAACATCTGACGGTATGTATTTCCGACGCCGATTCCTAGTGGTGTCGTCAGTGAGAATTGCTAGGAGCCCCTTACCATGACGAGAGAGTTGTTCAGTGCTTCCTGACTTTTAATAATACCTCAATTGGGATCGGATAATAATAATTGTTGTCTAACATTTTAAATGGTCTCTGCTAGTCTGTTCCGTCTAAAATATATGATCACGTTTATTGTTTCGGTCGACCACAACAGTAAACCTCTTCTGGTCCTTGATTCAAATTACTATTGTTCTCTGTTGATCAGTATTGAAAGTTTCGTTTGAACTCATTGTATCATTTAAATGATCGAACTCGTATTACTGTTTTTCAAATATAGTTGATATTCTCACTATTTGGACAGTCCAATCGTCATACGAATTCATCCAATTGGATTGGACCACACGCTCTTATTTTACAAGTAATTAATTATTCTTCTATGACTAATACTATGTATGTTTTCAAACTGTATTGATTATTTTGTAATGACTTAACTTCAGTTGCCACCAAACGATAGAGGTCGATTTTAAATACTTTTAACAAACAAGTCATGTTTATAATCTATTACTCAAAAGAGTCACTCATTTTGACTGTTTTACTCGTAAAATACTTGAGTGATAGTGTCTAGTGATCCATTGCTTTCGAAACACTGGAGGAAGATAGTAAATTTTGAACTACGTTGTGAATGTTCATCTACCAAATGAAGGGATATTTGTTGTTATTTGCCAAATCGGTGTCTACCTGGAGATGATTTACTGGCTACCATGGAAGTGGATTTGACAAAAGCTATGGGCGGACAGATCATTTCATGATATCGTTTTGCAAACTTTCTAACTACTGAACTGGTTCATTTCAGGGTATTCAGAATTTCTAGTCGAACTCTGTAGAACAATTGGAATATACAATTTAACGCTACGTGACATGATTTGAAGTAGTCTTAAGAGGTAACTCGAATCGATACGTATTGATAATAGCTTCTGTACTGTCTCTATGATTGCTTATGAGCGTGTGAAACAAATTTTCCTATTTCCCTTTCTTTTTCATTCAGTTTACTCTTTTTCCCAAAATTGTTCTTTCAGTCAGATCAAATTATCGTACAGTCACTAGCAGCTCCTATATCATCACATGTCGCTGATTGTTTGAAAAAGCTGTTAGACAATTTGCAATTGAGTTATGGTCAATATGATACCAGTTGTATGAGTAATAATCCATTCATTTCTCAAGCTGTTCCACACAAATCACCGGATTTGTCAAAATTCCAAAAACTAGTTCAGTCAGCTACAGAATTACATAGTTTATGTCCCGTAAGTTTTAAGGTATGAAACAATATTTGATTCATTCTTTGTAAATTTGTTTTATTGTGAATGACGTACATGTTTGTGCTTACAGTTATGATTCACATATGTTCTTTAAAAGAGTAAACAATCGTATATCATCAAGTTAGCTGTGAAAATCGTCTTTTAGAACTAGCTCTCATCTTCTAAGATAGTGTTTTATGAAGTGGTAGTTTGCCGCTAATGTACTTGGCTCTCGAGAGAATAGGCCTCAGGTTCAAACTCCCTTTCATAATAGATTAGATCGAATAACCGTTGAAAACGAGCGATTGTTAGACTTAGCATCTTCAGTTCTCATAATGAGTACGATGCGTCTACATTATCACGCCATTATTACTAGTCCTCGCTTCCAAATTGTGTTAGTTTACTATGTTACACTAATTACATTCAGCGTCACCCGGAAGTTTGTGTTGCCCTTCCAACTTGATAGATTTCACTAACACCACTTTTTGATGTTGATTCTCCTTTAAAATAGACCAATGAATTTTCACAAATCAACATTGTGTTTTTCATATGAAGGTTTGAATAACTAAAGTTCGGCCTTATGTCCGATTTATTTGCAGTGAATATATTCACAATGAACTCACTCTAGATGTATGGGAAGGTAGTGTTAGCTAATTAATTCTTCCTTCATGGGTGAATTAAATCTGGCAAATTTATGAGTCAGGATCTCCACTATGTGATGGTCTTGATGCAATGTTTTTTTTTCGAAAATGATCTATTTCTGCACATTAAGGTAGCATTACGGTTTAAAGATTATTCAATTTTGCTGACTACAATCGACCACTTGAATTGATAATGAACAATTCAATCTTGTGATGGCTATTTTCAAAATCCGGACTGATTTAAATTTAGTCCCTATAAACTAATATCAATAAAATATTTCATGAGTAACGTATAGACCATTTTATGTAGTAAAAATGATAAACTTATGTACACAAGCTATTTATCACAAAATAAACATGATTAAAAACTTTTAGTGTAAATCATCATTAGGATTTTCTAGGTCATTTACCAACCATTAGATTAGAATCATTACAATAAAAATTCATCTATTTCATAGTTTTCAGATTTAGTCAAAATCATTTGTCCTTTACTTATATAGCCTAATCTTCTGACCTTTGTGTGAAACAACGGCTTATTGATTGAATCATTCAACTACCACTAACACTGAATTGCAAGGGCAATTTTTACTCCAATTGCTTTAATTTGAAAGTTGAGTAATATTATCATAGCACTTTAAAAGTATACTACAAGCTCAGTACATAAACACGTATATGCATTAAAAATCTCATTTATTATATACTTATATATTTTTTTGAAAACTTCTCGCAGAATTTCGAAGAACAATTTTGGTGCATTCATTGTCCAAATGTGTGGAGTGAATTTCTTACAATAATCGATATGACGACATATAATTCTGTCCATCTTGTTAACAACGATCATCGAATCAATGATTGTATAATATACCGTCAATCATTAATTGAATCTCTTCCTTTGACTATATGGTCATTAATGCCAATTGATGTATCGGTGCCTTCAACAGTTATCAACAAGAATCAACCATTCAATCATTCTCCAATATCGTTAATAATTGATATTGATAATAAATTAATCCCTATGGATTCAAAATCATCATCCTCACATATGATAAACCAATCAGTAGATCAATGTCCAATCAAAATCTCTTTAGGTTCTACAGATCAATTATACACTAATCGTATTTTATTATCACGCCTTATCAAATTTTCTACCATGAACAGTGAAAAACTGAGAATTCCTGACACATTAGATCAAATCATATTTTTGTATTATATATATCAGCAAATTTCTTATGTACAAACACGTTTGTACTTAGACTATCAAGAATTTACACAAATTACCGAAAGTCGATCCACATTATCAGTCAGTCCACAATCAAATCATAATCACTATAAATTGTTATATTGTGTAGGTTTTTCCACACTACGATCAATTGAGCTGGACGTAAATGTTTGTCATGAAAATGAAATTCGTATGAAACAAGTATCGTCTCCTAGTTTCACGGAGAATAATGTTGACACTAGTCTACCGAATACTCCAAATGTATCTGCTACAAGTGTCAATTTTTTCCCGAATAAATCTTTATCAACTGCTCTATTGTCATCGTCATCATCACCATCATCTTTAACAAAATTCTTACATAATCCTACTCCACTTTCTGCTGCCACAGTGCTACCGTTGTCGTCGCAGACATCACTTCGCCATCATCATCCCATGTTTACACCTTCATGGGATTCGTTATCATTAAAAACCGAAGGTTCTGTGTTAGACAGTAGTAAATTAAATAGAACTAATCTTCGGAGATCAATGCGTGGGCGCATAAATTCCTCAGATGATAGTCCACAATCTTTATTACAAAATGATTGTGATTGTAGTATTGGGACTACTGATAGCATTAATAATAACAGTAATAGATGTACGAATAAGTTAGTAAATTCCGATTTACCATCACCCAAAAGGTTTTTAATAAAACGTAAAACTCACTCAACAGTTACGTTTGTCAATAAAAAAAATGAATGTAATGCGGTTGATCGGAACAAAGAGTCACAAAATAAACCTCTCTCTGAACAAGATCTTTTTATGCTTAATCCTGTTGCGGTAAGTTGTTATAAAAAGTTACTTTCTTATCTCTTAAATAAGTGTATCTTTTTTAATGAGACGTTATGGATTGGGATAAGGCGTTCTTTTCAAGTATATCAGAAGCAAAACCGTTCTTATCAGTCACATTGAACTATCATCGTTCTGTCTCTGAAAATGAATAGAGTTGACAATGTGAACCACTGGTTTTTGACTACGTTCTCGTGGATGGACTTGAAAGTTTTGAATACAGTTTTGTGTGTAGCCATGAATGCGTTTGGATTTAGATTCGCAGATCATAACGAAACAGCTATCCAGTAACTTCAGTTACCGATGTCCGCCAGTTGATGACAAAAATGATCAGTCAAATCTCCACTACGGGGAATATGAGTTTGACTGGGAACACCTTGGGACTTTAAATGAAGGTAGCAAAAAGAAGATCAAGTTATTTTCCAAAGCTCATTATTCGGATGACGAGGAAATAACATTAGACGTAATCTTTCACGCTCAAGGCCATTTTAGAACGGGGAGCTATATATGTTGATCTATCCTGGGACATCTTATTCAGTCGACTTTCTATAAGTGAAGTAAACCTTTATTATTATCACTCTGTTTCAATAACACAGTGTTATCAGAGTGCATTATCAACCTTGCTCTTGCTGTGCTGATCTACTTTCACATCGGTTAAATACTAATTCACAGTTTATGCAAGTTGTTTAGCTTCCGTCATTCTCACACAGATTCAAAACGAGGACCTATCAACTCATGGTTATCTCAGATGAATCTGAGTGTCCCGTCAAGTCCTTGTATGGTGTTTTAACTACGTACAACATGGATAAGTAGTAAAAATAATTACTGTAGATTTCTTTTCAGTAGTAACACGCTATTGTTTTTAATTTAACTACTCACTTTAGGATGGAGTTTGGGCAAACAATTCATCTAAAAATAACATAAGTCAACAGTTTTCTATTTCCAGTGATTTATCTGATCTACAAAGTACATCCAGTTCGATGGATGATTGGACTAAGCCATATGAAGTTTTATCTAATTTGAATTCATCGTGTACATATCAAACTGACGATATGTTATGGCCACCTCTTAATCATCAGCATCTGCTCAACTCTTCATCATTTCTATTAAGTCCAGATGAGATTGGTTCAGAATTGTTAGACGTAGATGTCTTTGCACCATATACGTCGAATACTCCCGATGCAGCTACTACTACTACTACTGGTCTGACAGCAGCAATGGAACAGTATCAAGAGCCAAAATCAGAGGAAAATATTACTGATCATGATAGATTTCGTCAATGGAAAAAGTCAAATATATCGAGTGTAATCATACAGTTGGCTGGATTTTCATTTGAAGCGGGTAAGCATAACTACAAAATTGATTAATAATAAAATAACTGAACGATATATTAATAAAGATTTCGTTTAATTGTAGTCAATATAATGAAAGTTTTATAGAAGCTAGATAAAGAGCCCGAACTTGTTATGACTTTATGTCCGGCTTTCTATCACGTGATTTATCCACCAGTCGAAATACGACTTATACAGTCTTAGCACTGTGCCGAAACCAATGACGTTCGACCGGTATGAGCAGTCTAGCGTCCTTATTGGTCCTACGTCCGCCTAGCCCATCCACTTGAGTCCAGAACACCAATACCAGCTTCAATATGCGAATCATATTTTCCAAACATACCGTGTTTATATATCAAACAAACGGACCGCAACGCACCATAAAATAGGAAATAGCATTTGTACACAATAAAGCCAAAAAGTGGCTGTGAATGTGAAAATCAGTAGTTAATAAGCTGAACATAATTTAGGGACAGTAAATGGTATAATAATAAAGTATGGGTCAAAATGAAGCTTATAAGTGGAATATAAATATACAAAATATAATTATTGAATAATTATACCATAAGAATATTCATATAATGTTAGTCCATTAATAGTCCTCGGAAGTTACCTGTAATTTAATCTTCACTAGGGTATAACAGAACTATTCTTTATATATTATGGGTTTTCAAATCCTGATACTATCGAATAACCTCTACAAACCCAACCAACTACTTGAATGAGAAGAAAGCTCCCATTAACGGACATCTGATTGCCTCACTGTATCACCTTTCCCTCCTGGAGGACATTAGATGGGGCCTCTTGCGTTCAACTGTAGCAACTCAAGTGGGAGTGGGATTGCTTTTCTTGATTCGTTCCAAGTAGTTTAGTCATATCAGTAGGTTTCACGTATAAAGTAGAGCTCACAAGTGAATACATTATCATTATACTTGTTGATTAAATTATATTGCCTTAGAACGATGATAATCACTATCAGATGAAGCATATGTTTAATATTTATAAGCAATGGATTGTTGAACGTATATCCTATGCATCACTAAGATGATTTCTATAAACCAAAAATCGTCCTTATTTTTATCTGACTTTATATTGTTCAACGATAATGTCTCCTCTACTGCAATTACTTACATCAATTCAGGTTTTCACAGCCAGCGTAAACTTATGGGTCAGTACCATTACGTATGAAATCTTAGTTAAACAAAGTCATTCACTTATAAAAATTGCAGGATTTGACATAGATTTTTAATCACCACATTTCAAATTATCACAGTACGAAGAAACCATGTCAAAATCAGTAAATTCGAAATAATATTAGTAGTAATAAAGAACTATATATACGAAGTATAGTTCAAAGTGGTCACATTAAATAAATCATTAATAACTATGAAATAATATTACAACTGGTGGTTTAGAGCAAATTCATATGCACTTCTACGACTGATTTCGAATCATACCCTTCAACCATAGATTTTTAGTGGCCCATGGATCTGACTCCTATTTAGATCGTATGGATAAGATAATAAGATTTGTGCATGTCCATGTCGTGCTGCACAGGCTTTGCTGAGTGCATCGGATTAGAGATTGAGCTGGACCCGTTGAGTGTGTTCGTCGAATGTATCAAGTGCAGAAATCTCTTCATCGACGTAGCTTGCTGCGTTGCGTTCGTCGTCGGCGGGCTTACCAATTTTGGTGGCCCATGGATCTGACTCCTGTTTAAATCGTATGGATGTTTGCTATCGCTGATTCTCGTATATCATCGTCAACTTAAATCGCGTTAGTCAATAACGGAATTTAGATAAGTCGAATAACGAGAATTGACTTGAGAATACACATATTTTGTATATGAAGCGAATGAAACAGAGCAGAGCAAAATGACACGCAGGGAAGATGGCTGAGATGCCAACTCCCTTTTGGTCAAGCGTTACTCAATATTTATAGTCAGACAGAACAAAGCTACAGACATGTGATTAATGGAATAAGAAGGGCACACACATACGCTCATATAAAAACAATCAAGACTGACAAGCGAATAATTGACAAGGTCAACATATGACTCAAGTAGAATGAATAGATTGGTTTGTCCAAAATTTAGAATAAGGTATATGGGCTTAAAATAATGACTGACACTACAGATTACAAGTGTCTCGAGGACCCGAACTACAAAGTCTACACCTCCTGAAATGACTCAGTTCAACAGTCATTGACTTTTTGAAGTATATTAGACAAAACTTTATCGTTGTTTTTTTATTAACGTTCAGTACCAAATAAAGTTTCTTAATGTATGCATTGGTGCACTCGGTTTTGAGCCACAATTTTTAATATGTAGAGTTTATGATACTACGTGGCTAACTATACCAAAGTAAATGGAGTGTGGTTAAAACATGTAACCTTAATAGTTCGTAGTCGTATTCTAATCCACAAACCAATATTTTGTATCTAATTACTTGGTAGCACTCGTTAATTCGTCAAGTTTCGAACGACAATCACTAACAGTGCTTTCTCCCGCATTTTTATTCGACAGTCGATTTATGTAGAGCTATCTCTTATTATATAGTCATTATTTCACAAGTCACAGATAAATTTGTCAACAACAATATGGTTACTTTTCAGTGCTCACTAACGACTTCGATTAAAGTGTGTAAGTAAATATAAATTGAGATAGCTTAAACTCGTGTTGTACATAATATAAATGGTTACAAACTCAGAAATCCTTAATCTGTTGCAACCTTAGTTATTTCCAAGTGATCATTCTATAAATATGTAAGCTATATCATAAAAAAGGCGAATCAGTGACTCAACAGTTGAAGTACTCAATCCAAATCCTGCCTAATCGACGTCAAGCTATTATAATCAGTTTGTGTCACTATCCCTCACAAAGATTATATGGCTTAGGGTTAAGGACACAAATGTACACTTGGTAAATAAGTTACTTTTTTAATGTTTTTTAGATGCTATGAATTTAGAAACACGTTTTTGGATTGTATTTAAATCACTTCAATTATTTATGAAACCAGAAGAATCACTTCATTGTTCCATCGCTTCATCTCGTGCTGAACCTGACCAAAAACAACATAATAAATTTGTACAATCTGATTATTTATGGTCAGTTTTCCTAAGTTTTGGTGGTGATCCAACGGTTGGACTAACAAAACTAAAGCCTACAACTAGTGATATTTATCCATGGTTATATGCCAATGCTACTTTATTAAAAAATTGGAGACTCATTATTCCATCAAATATTCAACAATTATTTATTCACGTATGGCATCAAATTGGCGGCCATGAAAACATAAATCCATTAAATTCTTCTCTGTGTAGTAGCATCCATGGAGTTAGTGTGGATAATAATGATAATAACGATCCAATTAATTCACCTCCAAGATGTTCAATTCGTTTATTGTTAAAACAAGGAAATTTATCGCTGAAACTGGAATCAGGTGCCAATGAAAATCCAGAACAATTAAAACTCTTCAGACAGGTGTGTAAATGTTATCCTTTAAAATGTATCATTTACAGATTTCCCAGTCATCATTGACTATTTTTGTGAAATGCTTAAAAACAGTTACGGTATTGAATATCATAAGTGGCAACACTTCAGTGATCAGTATATTTCCTTCCTTATCTATCTTTTGGAGAAATAAGATACAGCCATATTGAAATTTGTGATTGTAAAGCACTACAAATAGTTTATTTAACACGGAAAAAGGCTTTAAAAGTAAGGAGACGAATCGGAAAATTTCCGAGTTAAATGTTTTTACATGGCAGATAATCCCTGTTGTAGTAATTCCTTTATTACATCGTTCTACATCGTCACAACTAGAGTGCATGTAATAACGAGAAATACTTTCATTCATTATTTGAAAGGTTTTGTATCTTTCTATTATTGATGTTAAGGACTGGAATTAACCAGTCTCTTATTGTATCTTGAGCGGATTACTCCGATGATTGACATAAAGTTCATGACTCGTCCTATTTGGAACTCGTTAGCTGGATGTGTTTGTACCCGTTATGATAACATGGATACTGGGAACCAGGTGCATCCATCTGACGAGTTCTAAATATGACGGAACATACGTCCTGAATTCCACTGTTGACCACCATCCGACTTTAATAGAAATCTGTTGCAATATTCTGTGCAAAGGATTTTTTACTTAGCCTTTTTTGCCAGTAGATTAACGGGGATCAATTAATTGTATCTATATGATTGATTCAAAGTGCCAGTTAGTTTTATAAGTTATGACATCTCCATTCTTATGACATTAGTGAAATGATTTTTCGCAGCAGATTAAACAGTTTGAATTGTTAATTTAATTGATATACAAAATAATTGTATTGAGGCATATACATATAGTGTCTTTTGCTATCTTCTCACCCATTTCGACGCGTATATATCCTTCCTTATATGATTTTTTGAAAACGAAGAATTAATTTACAATTAGTACACAGAGGAGATTCAGTTGCCTATTCAGTCGTTATGAAGAAACAACCTAAGTTAATAAAATGGAAAGATTTTCCTTACATATCTACGGACAACTTGTTCGTATCACAAAACCAAACATGTAATACTTCAATGAGGCAATTACAGTTATAATTATTATTAGTGATAAGCCATTTTGCTAACCGATATTAAGTGAAAGTCATAGAATATCTTACAGTTATTTTTCCTCTAATCTGAGGATTTTTAGCACTCTGCACACACATACACATCCTTAGTCAATTTAAGGTTCGAACCTTGTTATCAAAAGGCATATTACCGCTCAGTGGCTGGAACTTGGTAGCTTTTCAACCCACATCGTTTTACATTCAATGAAAATTTCCTATTAAATCCATGACTGCTGTTAGAATTGTATTAAAAGCCCACTGGCTATAAAAGTCTTAAAACTCTTCAACATTTTGGTCAATAAATAAGAATAATTCATATCAGTATTAGTAATTCCTATTGATGTTTTACATTATATTCAAATAGTTGTTTCTGCAACAGGGATTGATTATTGAACTAACAGAATATGGCGTATTTCAAATTGGATTTGAAAAATGCACGTCGAATATGGAACAAAATAATAAGGAATGTGTTAATCATTGTCGCAACCGTGCAAAGAGTATTGACAATGAGTTATTATCCTCCTACTCTCCAGTAAATATACCCAGTGCTTTTCATAATATCCTAATCAATCGATATGCATTCGAGAATAAAATATTGAAAGATAAGGTAAAGTTAACTCTAAGTTTATGGACTATTTTTTAGATCTAGCTCCATGCTTATATTTGTATAATGCTTGCTGACTTACTTGACTGAAACTTGTATTTTGTAAAAAGGAAAACTAAATTAAGTAGATACTTTGGTGGGAGTGTTCGTTATGGAGCTGGAGTTATTGACTGAAAAGAAAGTTTGATCGACGAATACGATAGTAACAATAGCAACGTCGATAAGACGACTTAAATTCTTACGTTGAATAATAGATGTGGGAAAGTCATTGAAATGAAAAAAGTATAAAATAGTCGAAACTCACCTTTTTTGTCCTTTGATAAACCATGATGACGGTTACCCTCGAATGTCGTAAAGGAAAGGACGCAATGAGTAACAGACCGTAAATACAAGTGAACTAACATACGCACATCGAATTATTTATTCAGAACAACTTACACTTCATTTGGGGCCCATTTAAGCTGATGGCTAAAGTATGTTATGCAAAGACTAGGTGCATGGAGTTTTACCGGATTGGCTTCTTCAGAGCTATACCAAATTTGAAGGTTTATGAATGATATTTTCTTAAAAACTATGGGGTTTTGTAAACTAACTCGCATAATTTTTTAAATTAAACATATCCATTTTTAAGAAAGGTTGATGTCAGAATAAACAGTTCATTTCTAAAGCAGTCTGACGGACAAATTTGACGATATCATTAGTACATTGAAGGGATTAGACACCTTTTCCTCTATTAAAACCCAACTTTCAAAAGATCAGTCACTTATAAGCCATATAGAATCCGGCACAGATATGTGTTGGTTGAATTTGCTTCGCCACTTGGAAAATATATTAGTTATTCGTTGTACATGGGTTTTCTATCATTTTTTTTCCAGTATACCAAGCATCAAAAGACATTTATGCCAATTATTTCAATCAGTAATGGCATTGCACAACGGTCCTGATCTTATGAGTGTTGCTGCCAGCCCCCAAATATATTATGGTAGTTCGAAAGCAGAACTAAATTTTAGAGTAGCTTATGAATTAATATTTGATCACTGAGCAATTTATGAAACTATACGCCGCCACAGCTTATAATTGAGGGGTCACAATTATCATTCAGATGGTTAAATCGAAATCCATTTTAACCTGCAACCTAATTCTGTTGTAATTTCGTAACCCCTGCCCTATGAGACTACTCATGAAAATGCAAAAGTTAACCATTTGTTAGTAACCAAGTATTGACCAATTTGGCTTCAAACCATAAATTTTCGATCCAAGCTGAATTAAGCAAAGTCAAGTTACGAACTTCTAACCCAATAGTTGAAATTTGATTGTTCTTATCAGTGCATTTGACATTTTTATATACCATTTAATTGGACACACATATATTCTGTACCCACCCAGTAAGGATGTTAATAAAATGCTCAAACTAATAACGTATATGTGCTGAAAAGCTTGTATATATATCTCTAGTTGAAGTCAGTCGATGATATGAACTTCCTTGAAATCTAACAACCTCCATGAACGAGCGGCTTTGAGTGATTGTCTCGCTGTATAGAAAATTAACAAATATTCAGAATGTATAATACTGGATGTTGATTTAGGGTGTGAGTTCGTACTACTTGGAGGAAGCAGTTATGTAGTCAACCCTCGCTTTCATTGTTTATCTAATTGATGCCAATTCGTGATAAAACCCAACTAACAAACACATCTTCATAAATTACATATCTTAATGGATTTTATAATGATTATTATTGTAGATTGAGGCCTTGACAAATGAGTTAATGAAACTAAGATCAATGCATAATGCTTAATACTCATCAACGATTCCGAAAATATGATTTACCATATATTTATGGAATACTGCAAATTATACAGGCATTTCTCCTTTTGACAATTAACCATTTTAATGACTGAATTCTTTCTATCGAAAAATTGGTTTTCCATGTGAGAGTGAATATCGCTAAATCTTTAGTACAGAAAAACTAATTGTGTTCATAATTTTAATCAGAAATCAAAGTATTCCTGTTCTTTTTTCTTCCGATCATTAACTCATAACAATGTACATGTCAGTGCACTTGTCTGTTCATCACTCGTGGACAGATCCCTGATAGGAAATTCTTTTTTAGATGTACATAGTTATTTCTCAATCACCATAAATTAGACTATTTGTTTACAGTTTGTTTTGGTTTTCACTTATCGATTTATTTAGTAATTTCTTTGTCCATGGACTTATCTTGTACTTTTTTTCTCGGGTCACTTTCTTTGTCTTACCATTTATTGATTTATCGAATTCCAAACATATTGACTGCTTTTTTGTAATGAGCATTCTCTAATTACTCTGTGTTTTTTCTTATCCACTGGATGAAGAGGGAAACAAGGTATACAAAAACACATATAACAACAAAAGATTTTATTCTATTGGAATGATCTTCGATCCTGTTTTTCTCGTCCATCCGCACACATAATGCGATGGCCAAACCTCATTAGTGAGAAGCGCCACATATTTTTCTTGATGAATTTGGAGACGGTCTTCGTCATCGATTAATATCATCCGGAAGACCACTAACAGCTACGAGTTCCCTAGGGAGCTGTTTCGTCCTAGTATGAGACTCTTCAGAAGAATTGCACCTAAAACCTCCATGTCTTGTGTCGAGTACCATGGCTTTTGACTTTTGGTCGTGATAAGATGGTTTATATTTGAGATTTCAGTCCCATGGGTGATAATTTTCCTACTCTGGACATAGTAAGGGGCTTCTATATGATTCTAAGTTTTTTTACTTGGTGTAGAAAAGTATCAATGTAGCCGCAAATGAGTTTAGGCTCTATCATTGATTGTATTTAAGGCTTTTTCACAGTTACGGGAGATATCGACAAAATACTACTTGATTACTGATTATTGTGTATAAACTACAGTACTTCCTATCACTACTTCAAGAATAATATTCAAGTTAGATCAAAACGGGGGTGAATTGCTAAATTTGAAGCCTTTATAAATAAAAATATGCAGCACCCTCATAATAGCCCACTGTACTACTTGTTTCCCCAACTTATAGACAAGATTATAAGCTTATATATGCATGACCTGACTTTTAAGTTACTATATTTAATGTGATTAATTTATAGAGCATTATCATAAACCTTAGAATGTATACTAACATAACGGAGAGAATACTAGGGAAGTTGTAACTACGAAATATTTTATGTATTATCACTTCACCTATTGCCTAATTACTAAGCATCCAGATTATTGTCTTCCTACATTTCTCGTTGTAAGCTTCAGTTGAACTTAATAATTACTGTTTGACGTCTTACTATCCCTTGATTATTGCTAATTCACCTTGTGTTCCGTCTCCAGCTATTTATGGCTTGATTGTATGTGGACTAGGATTTCCTGCTTGGAGTGTGTCGTGACCTGATAGCACACATACTTTAATGCTCTAGTCATCTGGTTAATGAAATGCTATCAATTTATCCAACTGGGCTAGTTAAGAATACACCACGGGTATACAACGAGTTCATTTTGTTGACACTATAGTATACTTTTTATTTGAAGCTTCACTCAAGATACCACTCAGATTAATATTGAGATCCCCTTGATAAAAACCCTACCTTTGGGGAACATTAACTCGTAAAACAAATGTGTTTCCGTGTCAAATCAGTTAAAGTGGTTGCACTTTAATGTTAGGTGATTGGAGTTACGAAGCCCTGTGCTTGTTGACAATCATCAAGAATACTTACTCAGAATTTTGAAGGAACTGATACTTCCCATGTATTGTAGTCAGAGACACCAGTACTAAGAACTAAAAAGTAGGAAATTTTCTGTTAGTCTATAAATAGCAGTTCAACCGTGATTATTTATAGAACTTGTTTTTTCTTCATGGTACTATATTGTACGAACACATGCTAATATTGCATCACAAAGTTTACGCATAGCTACTATAACGTTCAAAATTTGATTGAGTCTGTTAGATAATCAAAAATATGTTTACGCGTTCAAGTGATACGTTGTTGTAAGTCATCAGTAATTTGAATTAGCTTATTTACTTTACCTATGTATTCAGTCATTGGTTTTTGTTTTGTTTTGTAAAAGGATCTTGTTGGAATGCTTTGTGCTGAGAATTCCTGATTGCACCAAAAATATAATATTGAATAAAGCTACCAATAATAATAACTAGTACCTCCCCCTCTTGGTTATTTAGCTCAACCTGTACAGACTAGTTTATATCAATAACTAGATGTCTAGATTTTCGCATATCACGACAGCCGAATCATTTTTACACGGCACTCTAATAACAAACAAGTCTTCAGATCGAAGAGCTATTAATTGCGTAACTTCTAAAATCTATTATGACATTATACTGTATCTCTCAGGAACACCATTTCCCAATAATTCTAGTCATTGGGACATACAAAATAATTATCCAAGTGCCAATCAGCATGTTGGTTTTTGTGTATGTTTCTGTAAAACAAGGATTCCTGTAGTACGGGATTGTCAATGTTGACTCCGTTTAAATAGTTTGATAACTGGCTAGTGTAGTATACAACTTCTGACCATCTTAAAACTTAAGTAGTAATGGCTTAGTGATTACAGTAACTGGTTTTTAACCACTGAACCATGAGTTCAAACATTGCTTCACTTCTGTCTAGGGAACCAGGTTGCATCACTAGCCATCATTCTTAATTTGGTTACAAACCCCTTGTATAAATCCGTGCACGCTGAGTTGCACAAATAAATTTCTATGCGATAAATTAGAGCTGTTGCTTATTTGGTAGACGTATTCAGACCAGTCGGTTATTATTGGTAAGTGGTCTAATCAACATTTTAGGTGGCTGACATGAAATAAGTATATACGATTAATGTAATGAAAATGCAATATGATGTAAAAACTAATGCCATGACATTATTTTGATATATCAAGATTGATCCCCGTGGATCTTTATGCATCTGGTACAATATCGTTGTTTTTATACATAAATGGAGTTTCATTATCCTTTTTATGCGTCATATATATGAATCCAACTCCAAATTCAAGATGATCAATACTAGTGAAACAGAAGTGAACTTAATAGCGTTAATTCAGTGAAATTAATCAAAGATAAAATGAAAACTCTCACATCTTAATATTTCTACTCTCATAAGCAACATATTCTAATACGTTAAAAAGAAACAGTTCTTAAGAAAACTACCGATTTTAAGATATAACAATCATTACAAGGTTTAATATTTTTAAGTAACATAAAAACATTAATTGCGTAGGGTCACATAAAAGGAACAATTATGTACTTAGAAGGGAAGATGTATATAATTGAGTCAAAATACTTTTGAATTTATATTCAATGCACACAAAATAAAGGATTTAATTTTTTTTACAAAGATGAGAACACGAATTTATCACTGAAGTAGACTGAACAACTGTTTTATCAGGCAGAAATCCATACCTACAGAAGTTTCGGATTAAAGAGAAAAGATACATATGGATGTTACAGTACTGAAATTATAGAACGACGAACAGTGTTTGAAGAAATATTCTTATATCCATGAATCTTTACTACATTTTACTCGTTCTCATATTTTCCAAGTGATTAAAAGTGAACATGAATTTCAACAGCTTACCCTAGCAAATCCTTCAAACTGTAATTTAGTAATATTAACAAAAAGTAGGTTAAACTGACCACTTAAAATATAAAACATTTATTTGGAATTATACAGACGGTTGGCATATAATCTTTCGAAAACCATGAAATGGTAAAATACTAAACTCTTAAAAAATATATATAATAGTAAATCTCCAATACAAGTATACTGTATTCATTAAAATCGACCTCTGAATATTGACAGCTAGCCATGATTTATAAATCCTCAACAAAAACCACGTGGGAATGCACACGTTACAAGTTTGACAATTTTAGTGGTTGCATAAAGTCAACGCCTGGACGTAACAACTTGGAGAACGAGAAAAAGGATTTTCTGTAAATTCGGCGTGTCACTATTAATTACCGAAGCAACCAATAAAGGGTAAATGTAGATTTTTCCCCCTTACATCGTATATTTGGGGGAAATTTGTAGACAAGGATTTTCCTTACATGCATATATCCAAACTTTGTTGTTTAACTAGTGTCCCAACATATTTGGTGGTCATCACAAATAACTTACGAGATGCAAGTGAGTGGCGTGCTATCTATTTTTATGTTCATTATCACTAATACTTAGGTGTGACGAAGAAACTAGTCAATCTATGGATGGAATTTTTTCACAAACGACTAAGAAAAATGAACATACATGGATTTAGGGATATAAATAAGTTAATATCTAGTTGCGTGGCAAGTACTCCCTCCGACTTTCAGCGTAAACACCGCACATTAGACTTCATCTCAGTATGGAAAGCTACGGAGTACCGACTGTTTCTTCTATATTTAGGCCCCGTAATTCTTCAACAAAGTTTACCGCAGCCCTTGTACCCTAATTTCAGGCGTTTAGATTTATCGATTTATTTGTTAGCACATCCAAGATTACGTAATAGCGCTACAAATTCCGTCAGAATGGGTTTACTGAACTTTCGTAAGAAATATGAATGGTGTTATGAGTCCAAAAACTTAGTTTACAATGTGCATTTGTTGCAGCACCTTCGCGACGATGTTCGTGCATATGGACCTTTAGATTGTTTTCAGCATTCCCATTCGAGTCATATATGAGGCAAATTAAGAAATCAGTGCATAGCGGGTATGCTGTAGCCAAGCAAGTAGCTCAGCGTTATGCGGAGATATCTTTTTGTGATAGGCTCCAAGCTAGCAGTTCAACTTATAGTGCACAGATAACCGATAGGGTAGACTCACGGAAACAAGTAATTATGCTTAAGAATACTAAAATAACTTTATTTAAGCCAGATAATGTGGTACTAGTACACGGGAAGCCTGGTCTGGTAACTGATGAAGGGGAGAATGGATTGATGAAAATTAGGTCATTCGCAGACCTACGCAATTACTTCGAAGAACCCTTCCATTATAGTGACAGGAATATTTATGTGCTTGATAGTTAGTCATGAGCACACATGGTTTCAATTGAATATACTGACTGTAAATGTATTGCCCTTAATTGTGTTAATTATTCAGAGATTGTTCCATAAAATGAAATGACGATTGTTCCATTGCTATATACGTTTATGTAAATGTATTGTTTCAATCTTGCTGATGATATTACCATAAACCATTTCCTTACCTCTAATGTCCCATTAGCCGGCCAACAAACAATACATAATTTTAGATGCACCGAGCAAGAGGCAGCTTATGATTGCAGCTAAACAGTGGTTTGTGAAGAAAGAACTTTGTCTCTATCCAACGGACAATTGATCAGTCCTGAAGTGTAAGGTCATTCACGAATGCGGTGAGTTACAAACATAGAAACGATCATTATCTATAGATAGTCTCCAGAATGCAAAGGAGTTGTTGGTTTCCTTCAACAAATTAGATGTTTACCGTATCAACATTTCTACGGACGAAAACACCCTGCAACTACCAATGAGAAGCCGAAGAGGTTAGTACAGTAACCTTATTAACATTTCGTAGAGGTGTATTGAAACGGAAAAAGGGTTTCTTTACAATTCCGTTGACATGGATGTGGCCCAGATGCAGGCTAGAAACAGCCACGTCCAATATCGGTTGCTGGACACCATTATCTCGCCAATCTCCAAGTAGGCGTGTTTACCTTGAAGATGTTAATTAACTAGTTGGACATAATTGGACACATCGCCCTTAACGTCCGCGTGGGCAGTGCGTTAGCGGTCGAGTAAGTCACGTGTCACACTGAAGTTTATAAAATTTGATAAACTGTATGCTGTACTGCAGAACATATTGTCAATCGTTTCAGACTTGAGTGCCAACATTAGGCAGTTACTGCCGAAGTCTGGTGGGTGTGAACATCCGCGGCAATCCGATTGCGGACTATTAAGCCAGCAGTTCCCTTTGTCATCTGAAGAGGGACTGGGAATGTTAGACGCATGTCTTCAGCAAGAAATTATAAGGGACAAGTTTGTAAGCCAACAAAATTAACAGGATCATTTGTTCGTATTACAGATGGCCATGCTGATGTGGTTAATGAATGATAACCCTAGAACGTCTATGCGCTATAATTTGTCATACGTCATGACACCTGAAGTTGCCAGCCATTTCACAATACTTGGCACTTCATCGGAAAGAGCACGTCAAAAATGCAGGTTTTATGGTTGCATATGAAGTAAGAAATCTTTTAACTTCCAGGCGCATTAACAGATCAGTTCCTGTCTTCATCGGTGAACGAAAAGACCTTGCAAAACTGCATGACATCGCGACGCAAGGATATTTTCACGATATTAGACAAAATGCAAAAGCGTAATAAAAGAAAACAAGAATATGTACGTACTAATTTAAACTTATAACTATTCACCGCTGTTTTGTAGGTGCGATGTTCAGTATTAACGAACATAACCGTAAGTAGAACTTCACATAGGTAGTTGCTTAAAAAACAATAGGAGTTAGATATCGTTGTAATTTTTTTGTGCTTATTAAATTTCAGAATTCACAAGAAGATTACTTCGCTTCTCAATAATTTAACAGGAGTTTAAAAAAGGCATTACCAGTGTAATATATTCAACTTCATTTTCAAGAAACATTTTCTTAAACATGCGCTTGTTTTCCAAATGCATGTAAAGCTCTTTGAGTGAGTATTGAGAAAGCCTGTCTGATTTTAAATGCACTTGTAATTAAGTACATGTGCCTAATTAATAACCCATAACATGTTCTTTCTTTTGTAGATCTTTTCAAAACTTGGCAATTACAATCAAAATACATAACGATCGATGCTCTAGCATGTCAACTATTCATAATGTACAATATGACGTTTTTTTCTTTTCAATAAATTTCTTTAAACATGTACCATTCTTAATGTCGATTGCAGTTGTGTGGTTTGCTATGGAAATAAAGGCGAACATACGAGACATTTGAAGCTAGATCAAAGGTGTGCCAAAAATTGGAGCGAAAGTAGATGAATCGGATTGTATTTAGGCGAAAAGTAGACAATTTGGCGTGTATTTAAACGAAAATTAGACAATTCAGCGACATGTAAAACAGAGCAAAATCCCCTGACAGGCGAAGCAGACATTTAGGCGCGTTACCCCATTATTTTCCCTTTATTGATTGCTTGGGTACAATTAAAATACACAAAAGACTACCATATAACTCACTCAACTAAGTAATTCTCCAGATCGTTTGGATAGAACTCCAGATCAAGATCCTTAGTAATGGAAAGTAGATTCCCTATCAGCTCTCCATTTTTGTAGACCACAATAGCAGGAACACCACGGTGAGACTATTAAAGAATGCACATATTACAAGGACTAAACAAGTGAAACGTCCATTAAGTCAAACACTAAGAAATACAACGTATAAATAACAACCAGTTACGACTACAACATGATTCGCATTATCCATCGAGTAAGAAACTTCTAGCCTTTTGACAAACAGGGATATTCTCTTTGTCAAACTTGATATTATTTGAGAAAATTAAGATCACGCCACTTTTCTATGATACACTCGTCAGCATAACTTAGTAACCATAATTCAAGACAAAAAGAGCTGTCTATTATTTAGATTTCCATGCTGTAAAAACCTAGCTTTCAAATATGAAAAGGGCTTTATGCAATAACATGTAGTGGAGTATGATTAATTCACATTATCAAATACATGACTAGGACACTATCCGTCAGGAGACCAAAACGCTTGAGAAACCATTGAAAAGTTGAATGTGTCCACAGAAATCACCTTTATGTATGGGTAAGCGGTCCAGATTTGGAAACAAGGTGCCCACATTTGCATTTCCCACTTACTATATGTTTATGTAACACAGAATCCGTCTGACCTTGAAGCAATATGTAGGATGCACGGTTCATCAGGCAAATCAGCGACACTACAATTGTGCAAACATTAGTCTGGTGGGGATTTGTAGCTCAGATGGAGTTTTGTCCTCTGAGTTGAATAGTTTGGTTGTGGAGCTTTCATCGTTCTTCTGGACGAAACCATCAACACAAATTTCTACCTGAAGTCCAGGTCAGAGAACAAAACTCCACCAAAAGCATTAATCTACAAACATCGAGCTGTTTGTGATAACAATGCTCTGGATATGGCTTTATACATCATCTTGTATAATTGCAATAATAACCTACTATCTAGTCATGGATCCATAACTACTTCACTGCTTGGTCTCATGACAAGAGGGCTTTCATTTTCAAGAATAGAACGATGTTCGGTGTTTCGAAACTAAGGGTCAAACGTTCCAGTTAAAAGAGTGGTTAGATGGCCACATAATCCGCGAAAAAGAAATCAAAAGACGAGATCACTTTACAAAACGAACTGTATGTAGATCAAACCATATAGAGAAAACTGGGAAAATACGAAATATATTACACGCAGTTATGAGATATGAAAATAAACTCCACAGACAGAACTTACGAATCGGTAACTGAGATGAGCCTCAGAAGCTCGGATTCTACAAAACTTCACATGAGGATAACCGTGATATATTTTTTCGAGACAAGTGTTGACTTTTGCACATGATTTATTGCCCTTTGTATTTAAAACGTATACAAAACGTTACTTACATTTTCATATATAAAAACAATAACAGTCGTGTTCTTGTTTGTGTTATCTATCTCCTCAATAAATGTATCCGCTACCAGATCGTAGATCTTGTTGAAAGTGGGTCTTGAAAGTTATACGTTTTTTACACAGAAAGGCTTACAAACTTTCGTTGGCTTTTCTTAGTTCATTTATTCTGTTCTGTCGATATTGAAACAAAAAGTCATCGTCGCTATCATCTGAAGCGTTTAAGGTCGAATGGGTATGTTCATCTTCCTTTTCATCTTTACTCTTAAAAATAAAAAATAATTATAACCACATACATAAGGTCTGCAACTAAAGGAATGCTGTTTGGTATATTCGACAAGTTTTCGTTCTTTCTCAGCGTTTCGTTCACTTTCCAGTCTTTTAAAACGTTTATAATCAGCAACTACACCCTTTGGTCCAGTCTAAAACTACATTACATTTCAGAATATTCCTAACCTGTGGAGAGCCAAGATAGGATATATTTTGGGGGTTTAAACTTTTCGGAACAACAGTAGAAGGGTTACTTTCCTTCCCACTCTCGCCACTGTCCTCTTCGCCTTCACTGCTGCTACAGTAATTATGGACCTTTTCGCCAAGAAGTTTGTCGTCAAACGATAAAGCCATAAGGTTAAGATTGTAGCGGTTGTCGTCTAGCCAGAAGGTACTTCATGTACTAGGGTAGCATGAAGAGTAAATGGGGAGGGCTGAAACAGAGAACATAAGGTGAGTCAACGACCTAGAAAATTCACATAATGCATTTACATTTATTAAGCAAATCAACATAAAATAATCAGTAATAACACAAGCGTCAGATTTATGGAATCTTGAGTTCAAGACTAGGATCAGATGGTCAACTGATCAAGAAAACTAGGCAACGACTCGGTGGAATCAAACTGTCTTAAAACGATTGGCGCGCCAACCCAACAATTTGTAAATTTTTCCAGAAACGGTCAAATCAAGACAATTTAAAATTTGATTTGATTTCACCCTCCGTCCTGTAAGCAATGAAAGTGATGTCATAGTAATGATGCATAATATAGAATGAATCTTCAATGGTATTGTTATCATGACGATTCGCCACTTAAGACAATTTTGAGGCTTGACTGAAAGAAGCTTCTGTATTAGTACATAAGGTGACAGGACTTCTGAGATTAATAATTATTTGCACAGTATACAAGGACAAAAGTCCTACAGTTTATGTTAACCCTTTTCTAGTATGCTTTTGTGAATGTTTAGTCTTCTCTTGAAAGAGTCAATTGAAGGTTCCAAGAATTGATGACTCGTTATGTATGCCACGGGTGTTTTTTCGTTGTTGGCTTTTCTAATCCTCTGAGATGTCCTGGTCTGGTAGGAGGAAAAAGGAGGATATATTAGGTCCTATATCATTTCCCAGTGTTTTATAATTCAAAATCAGAACACCACTTGATCCACGATAAGACAGAGCAAGGAAGGTTAGTTTTTCAAGCCGCTCTTTATATGGTAACTCCCGGAGTTATGGAATTGCATGGGTAGCTACCCTCTGTACTTTTTCCAGGATATCCGAGTCACCTTTTAAACAGGGGCTTACAGCCTTGACGCAATTCTCAAGCTGGGTCCTCACTAAGGTTGTGTATACTGTAGTGAACATGGTCGTAGCTAAATTAGTGAATGTCCGTCTTAAGACCCAGAGGATTCTAAACCCCTTAGCTGCGACCTCCGGCAATGGGTATTGGTCTTAAGATCATGACTCACTGTCACCCCAAAATCCTTATGAGACAGAACGACGGGTACAGGCACTTCCCTATGGCGTACCTGTAGTGGCATTGGACAATAGCCACACAATCCACAAAGCTGTGAACACGAGACTACTCAGAAAATAGATATTCAATATTTAACTCGGGGAAATACCTAACAATGGAGAAGGCGCGAACAATGAATTGAATGGACTGGAGTCGATCTAGTGGCATGGCTCGGCCATGCAGGCGTGGTCTCTGCGGAATGTTACCTTATATCTTCTATTCATATTAAATATATTGTTCTTTCTCTAGCCTAACCTTGTTCTACATCATGTATTGGTAATTGATGCGATACAGTGAGTTGGTGTAGTCGATGGTGTGACTTCCACGTAAGATCTTATAGATTAGGCAGTTATATCATGACAAATCTACAAATTTAGGATTAGGTCTATTATTAGAGCAATACTAATATCATAGTAGACCATAATTCTACATACCTATTGAGATCTGCATCCCCAAAGTGTATGTAGACACACTTTTCCGGATTGATAGGCATCAGCCATTCTCCAGACCAATTAGTCATATTATTTAAGTCTGCCCTAAGTGGGCATGCATCTGCGTCTCCCGTCGTTTCTCACCAGACTTTTACATCGTCAGCGTATAATAACATTGGAGACTGTACTATACTTGAGAGATCATTTAAATACGGCATAAAAAGTAAAGGACCTGGGACAGAACTTTGAGTTCATTCAATTTTCATCCAGCCGTTTTAGCACTCCTCTCACATGCTGTTCGTGTGGTTTTAAATCGGGACTCGCAATTAACAAATCGTCTATATACCTAGGACCTAGGACAGAACTTTGAGTTACTCCACCAAGCACTGGTCTCCAGGTAGAGAACTTGGGATTTATTCTTACTTTCTATCTGCGACCTACTAGGAAATCCTCACGCCATTATAAGAGAGGTCCGGCAATACCAAGATTTTTTAACATCAATAGAAGTCTATTTGTTGGCACCTTGTCAAACGACTCACTGAAGTTTATGTAGACAACATCCGCTTATTTGCCTTTGTCTAGCACCTTCACCCAATGCTCCCTTGCTATAAGGAGGTTTGTTGTGCAAGATAAACGTTTTCTGAAACCATGTTATTCGCTGTTTAACATGTTGTTGACTTCCACAAATGTCGTTATAGTCTTTCTGACTATTCTTTCCAATATTTTAACTACAACATTGGTGAGGCTGACAGGTCTGTAGTTCGATGAAAGTCGCCTTGGTCTTGTTTTATGTGTGGGAGTGACGATTGCATCCTTTCAGTCCATAGGTAACACACTTTGGTCAGGTGACATATAGAATATCACAGTCAGTGGAGTAGCAATATGTCTTAGGATTTTGGGATGTGGTTCTTCCGGTCCTGTTGACTTTCGCTTGCCTACGGTGCTAAGAGACTTAAGTGATCATGGTGAGCAGATGGTTTGTTGACTCTGTATTAGGATCTAGTTCTTCATCTATGAGATGTTCCTGAGTGAAAATTGCTCCAAAATAGTTTGCCATAGCCCCTGCTTTTTTCTGATCGTCCTCTACACATTCTGGACTGTGATATACTGCAACTAATTCAATATCTCGCCGTCTACATTTCAGCCTGCAACACACCAGCTCACATTTCCCTGAATCATGTGCCACTGTTTCAACAGGTCGTATGGTTAAGGTACTTTGAGTGTAAAGGATAACCACGCCTCCCCTACGGTTCAATCTATCAGCCCTACTGGATAAAAAACAGTCACCAACCACTTCTGACGGTAACCATGTTTCTGAGACAGCAATCAGATCCGGTTTTTTTTATATCCACCACTGTCTTGAGCTTCGCCATTTTATTTGGTAGGCTACGAGCATTTGTATAGCATACTTCTTCCGACCGTCTCTCAATACGATCAACCAGGCCGAGATTCTCATGGACGTACATTCCGGATCTAATCAGTTTGCATGAGTTTCTGAGTATCAGGTTTCTTTCTTCAGCCAAACTAAAGGTAACCTTCAAGAGACTGTTTTTCTGAGTACTTTCAGAATCCACCAATTGTCCTATTCTATAAAGCTTACAGATGCTAACTCCTGAAACTGTTTCTGGAAGTAGCTTGTATATTAAAAATTTAATGTGGCTGAGATTGTGTTCAAATCTAACTTTTGGTTCATTTTCGGAAGATTTTTCTCAATTTATGAAAAATGACTGACCTATCAGCGAGGTCCGTTTTAACAGTCTACAGAATTTTAATTTTTGAAATCTTCTCCTCCTTTCAATCCAATTCCGGTTTGGCCTCAAAAGAAGAGGTCAACTTTTTGGATGTGACTGTAGGCCAATCATTATCCTATATACCCCTCAGAGTATGCCCCACCATAGTCTGTTTTGCGTTGATATGGGAATCCGGAACTGAGACCGTAGATTCACATACCTTGGTACTATTCATAACTAGTTTATTCTCATCCTGCTTTTTCTTTTTCCTTGTGACAATGCCTACATCGGTATGCTTGTTATCTATTTCCCTGATGGGGTCCACCAAACAACTGAACCAATGAGTCAGTGAACACCTCCCTTTGTATTTAAGAAAAGGTACTACCAAGAAAATATGCATCTCGGTTCTATCACAAGTGATCGACAGCGGTTATGTAATAGACAGAAACAGATCAGTTGATGTTATTTATCGTATCCCCATTAGTTTTCTTTACGGGGTTCGATCTCGTCTCTTACACAAAACAGAATCTACAGGAATTCGGGCTAACATTCCAAGTTTTTGTGTTCATAAGAAATTTGCAACACCTTTATCTCTCTCATGGTCTTATTAAGAGATTTTATCTATTATTATTTTCCACATTCTTCGATTATTTTTCTTCATCCCTCCTGCCCTTTCCTTTTCTCAAATGTAAACCTCAATGTCCATTTACCTGAACATCCCTCATTGCATAATGTTATAACTTTTAATGAATGTTATTTCAGTGTCTATTTTCCAAGTCATCGACCTACTCCCTGTTATGAAACATTGATACAAGCCTTTATTATTTTTACCACAACTAGTACACCTGACATCACACTATCAATTTTTACTTTTTACTTTTTGTGCTTATTTATGTTACCTATTCCACTGTTATCATTGTCTTATAAACTGTCTTGATCCGTTTAATGATTTCAGATCTGCATCTACATATTCATGTATATTCAAGTAAAGCCTGATGAAGATCTAATCGAAAACCATATTGTTCACTTATATATGTTGTTCAAAACTACAATATAGGAATTTTTCAAGTATTACATGTTAATCATGTTCCAAATTCGTAAAAGCACTTTTATTGTACAGATGGCTCATTGATAATTTCATAAGTAAGCAGAATAGAAAGTAATCGATCTCAGGCATTTTGTAAAGTGAAAGTACTAATAATGCCATGGGAGAAATGATTAGATTAGTTCAAAGTTCTTCGTTGCTATCCTGAAATAAGCGTTAGAATACTGTACAGTCAAGACTCGGTGAAGGTGGTCATAAGTAGCAGTAAGACACAGAAAAAATAGTTGGAAAACTGTTATGTAAAATCTGGTATGTCATGCTTCGATGAGGAATCTTAATCACTTAATTTTAAACTAGGTCAGTCACATAGATGAGCATCAGCATTTATAATATCTGTCCTTCGGAAACCAACGGTTATTTGTACTCCTCTATAAACACTTTGGTGCACAGTTAATTGTGATGCAACATCACCTACGGGATGGGCATGTCAGAATAACACAATAGTCTAATGGTCTTTGCGAGGTGTTCTGAATTATTAAGGGCCATTCTGCTATTCATATGGTTTTAAAATAAAGCTATCTATATCAAAAACTATACTTTGCGCGATGTTCCTGAATAAGGGAGTCATAACAGAAATGCTGTCAAGAAAATCATGTACTGCCTTTTTGCCTGGTTGGTATATATTACTTTAAACTACCTTAAAGTAATTGTTAATTTTTTTTCACATCAAAGGCATTTATACAAAAATGACTCATGCTTTTAGTACGGACTCATTTTGATGTGAACTATCATGGTTTTTCACAGAAACGGGAAACCAAAGACAAATATTTCGCAATAACGGCTTGAATAATAGAGGAGCGGAAGATTGTCTGAAACATTATTAGATATCGGAACCAAAATGAGGTAT